TGAATAAGATACTTTTTATTCAATTGTTGTGACTTTTGGTGATTTACTCAAATTTTAACCACATTGAATCAAATCCGCAGGGCTCAACACAGCTTACATGCCTTATTATCCTTGGTCGTCATCCAGGGCCGTCAATTCGAACCAGAATGTTGATCCATATTCTCGTTATTGTCATTCTCCACATTCCTCCGAACGACAATACAGAGGCTTGCATATGCTTGGAATTACACATGTCGTCCAATCAGGAGAGAGACTGAAGCGGCAGTTGGCAGAGGTGACCGCGTAAGCCATTCCATCAGCATGACAGAGATGTGTGTTTTCTGCTTAATTATGAACACATGCCACTCAGGCTCTCTGAATAGACCTGATGTGTGATTACACAACCTGCTGTCATCTGATAGGCTGGTGAGAATGATGTCATAGCAGCTGCCAAATACCCCAGGCACCCCCCAAAATCAAAGGTTACGTAACATCTAGCCAACGTTTAACCCCTACGATGATTTTATAACTACAATTTCTTGCAGCCATAAAAGTTATAACTCACGGACCACATCCAAACCTATACAAGCTTGTGGCTCGTTTCTTATGAAAAGCCTCTACTTAATCACCAACCTGCGTTTTTTTTGTGTATTTTAAGTGTAATTTCATTCTCTCTGTGTCTTTGGATACATAAGAAAGGGACCTCCTCCAATAATGTGTGCTCTTTTGCAAGTCCTTTGTTGTTAATAAAGTGTTGGAGTGCTTTCACGCTTCTCTGGCAAGTGCCGAGCGCTGCAAGGCAGGGGGGAGCCGCAAACACCAAGCCAACCCCATCTGTGTTCATTTGACTGGAGAGAGAGACTTACTGATGGAGCTGTAAAAATTACCTTCTTATTTTAGGACTGAGATTTTGACCTAGAGAGAGAGTGTGACAATAGAAACTGAAACGAATGAAAGTGAAAACTTTGTGCAGAGCAGAGAACCACAGCCATACTCTCTTGACACTGTCAGTATGGTTCAGACTTTCTATCTAATCCAGTTTAGCTAGACTTTTGGATTGCAGCATTTTGTAATCAGGTTTTTTTTTTTTTTTTTTTGCATGTAATTTAGGGACAGGGTTATCTCATATAGATACTATTATAATTATTTGGGTAACACTTTAGAATACGGTTCCTTCATTAATGAATAACTACACAATAACTAATGAGTAACACAATATTAACAATCTAGTAACTATTATTTACTAATAAGAAACTCTGATTAACGAACTAGTAAGTAATAGCGCACAGACGAAAGTGGTAGTTCACTATTAAGTAATCAATAACTACTATTTTTTTAATACTTCCCAGAGAACTACTGAAAACGTTTATTAACAATCTAGTAACTACTATTAACTAAAAGAAATTCTTATTAACGAATTAGTAAGTAATAGCTCACAGATGAAAGTGTTACTAGATACTTCTGCGGGAATTACTAATTATTTGGATTCGTATTATAAAGTGAAGATCATTGGAACTAACTAGTAATTACTCGTGTTACTAAAGACATTTTCTAAAAGTATACTAAAGTTCACCAAAAATCTCAAACGTTTGCACAAATCATGACTAGATCATGTAGTAACACTTGAGTAATTACTAGTTAGTTCCAATGATCTTCACTTTATAATACGGATCCAAATAATTAGTAATTCTCATTATCTATTCTCAGTATCTATTAACACTTTCATCTGTGAGCTATTACTTACTAATTACTTGGATCCGTATTATAAAGTGAAGATCGTTGGAACTAACTAGTAATTACTCAAGTGTTACTACATGATCTAGTCATGATTTGTGCAAACATTTGAGATTTTTGGTGAACTTTAGTGTACTTTTAAAAATGTCTTTAGTAACACTTGAGTAATTACTAGTTAGTTCCAATGATCTTCACTTTATAATACTGATCCAAATAATTAGTAATTCCCACAGAAGTATCTAGTAACACTTTTATCTGTGAGCTATTACTTACTAATTTGTTAATAAGAGTTTCTTTTAGTTAGTTACTAGATTATTAATAAACTTTTTCAGTAGTTCTCTGGGAAGTATTATAAAATAGCAGTTATTGATTACTTAATAGTGAACTACCACTTTCATCTGTGCGCTATTACTTACTAGTTCGTTAATCAGAGTTTCTTGTTAGTTAATAATAGTTACTAGATTGTTAATATTGTGTTACTCATTAGTTCTTGTGTTATTCATTAAAGAAGGAACCGTAAAAAAGTCTGGTTCACAAATGGCTTGTACAGAAAAGAAAATAGTGGTAAATGAACAACAAAATACTAATATTCTATTTAAATACTCTTATATTAACTAAAATATAAAAATCTAAATTTGATTGTGTCATGGAGGAGCTTCTGTGAGCATCCATTTACTGTATTTTTAAGAGGTATTTTAGGCTTGTATTTTCACTTACAAAAAGCCTACAAAATTAATACATAATTTTAACAATATTTTAATATAAAGCTTGTATCTTTATAACTTACATTTCGTCCCCTTGGAATTATAAGGTTCTATCTGACATTTTTGTCAAAATTGAGTTATTCACATATTCTTATTCTGTGACAATTTATTTACATTATGTGATGTGTTTTGTACATTTAGGGTCCCTGTTATTTTTATGTTTGAAAGAAACTCATACACATTTTGAATGCAAAAACTTTGAAGCTCCATATCTCAAAACTGTTCAGAACCTTATAATTCTAAGGGGACAATTTCTCCAAATAACAGACAAATACAAATTATTTAGGTTGATTACATTTTAAAACATCTTATTAATTTTATAAAAACATCTTTTTCATAGCATTTTTATTTATGATCTGTTTCCCTCAACAAAAATGTGCAAATTTTTCAATCACACACATTTCAATCACACATTTTCCTCTCTGAAACTCACTGATATTTTTTTTCCGCCATTTATTACAGCCATAAAAGTTATGCAAAATACGTTTACAGTACATGACAACAATGTACTTAAAAAATGAAAGTTTTTTGTAATTGTTGTTGTTGCATTTTTCACAAAGAGACATCATTGTCAAAACAATCCAGCGTCCAATTACACAAACTACTAAAAACGCTGTATTATTAATGCCAGGCCGGTTGTTGGCGCTGTCACTTTTTAAAGAAACACTACACGCCTACTAACAGACTGAACATGACGTCACAGTTTTCAAAAGCTTGCATTTTGAAACCTGTTTTTAAAGGTTTAAGTTGTATGTAAACAGCCCCTTAAAAATATGAAGCACCAGTGTGTCTCCCAACACCCATGCAATCACAGTAGTCATTTATTTTAGATGTTAATGATATCTTTTGTTGCACAACAAAAACTGCGCCACTTTCTTTTAAACCACCATTTTAGCAGTTAAACCCTCTTTTATTAACTAATAAACAAGCTCTGTTATCCTCACTTAAAAGCCATGTGCGGACAAGGGAGATTTGAGAAATGTCTCTCATGAAATGAGAAACATAAACTTTGTTTGTGTTGACCATAAGAATTTGTTGTGACTGTGTTAAGAGTCTTATCAGTAATCCTCAATTGTTCCTCGAGTGTTCCTCAACACTTACCCACACTAATGATATCTTTATTTCTGTGATGGGAAACGCTGCCACAACTGGATCACATTTTGAATGTCCTTTTAATTCTCTCAATTATTTCCTCTCAATGATCACCACTTTGACTGGTTGATATACTGTAGAGGTAGTTTCCGGGTCCTTTCCGAATATAATTCATCCTCTATACCAGTTCTTTTCCATTTCTGTCTGGAATTTGGGTCTGTTCTTCACTCCGTCCTGATTGCTTAGTGTCCTCCATGCAGTCATGGATATTCTGTGAGACTGACTATTGAGAAGAGATGCAAATTTTCTTTTTTCTGGATGTATTTATTTATGCATGTTTTGAAATTTATATATTTTTAGCGATATTGGCCTTTAATCTCCCAGGGCCAGATCACTCTAAAAAATGCTGGGTTGTTTTAACCCAATTTTGGGTCAAATATAGACAAACTCAAACATTGGGTTAAAAATGTAATTTAAAAATGTAACACAATGGCTGGGTTTGTCCATATTTGACCCAAAATTGGGTTAAAACAACCAAGCATTTTTTTAGAATATACTAACACTTTTTCGCCCACTTCAGGCGTATTTGTTTCACATAAAAAGTGTGCATAAAACCATGGCGAGTTGTGTATGAATGGGACAGTAAGTAATCCGGCGGCAATAATGCGAGCAAAACGAAGACATGATTTTTGCCGCAAGAATCACACTTTTTCAGTTGAGTGAAAACGAAATCATTAATTTGTGATTTGATTAGTGATTTGATTTGGTTACTCCTTCCATTCCCGCCTGCTCCCTCTGTTCTGCTGGCTCTCTCTCTTTGTATCAGCCTTGTTGAAAACCATGGGGGTAGAGCCTTATAACGCGTTATAGAAGTTATGGAACACACTACCCGCATCTTCTGTGGATTGTTTTAAGAAACTTTTTAAGACACATCTTTTCATCAGAGGTGGAATCAGAGGTGCTGATTACCTGATGAACTGCAGGTTTGGTATATAACACACACTGCGGTTTCACATCAAGCGCTTTCTGCGTCTTGGCCATGGCGCTATTAATGCTGCGTTCGCAATTGTACATACATCTGGCCCTCAGTGTCTGGTTGTACGTTGATCACCACTGATGCTGCAACACTTGCCTCAAACTTCTGGTGTGATGGAGTGAACCTTTTGGACTGAATGACACTAAAGGTGCAGTCACATTTACCATTGCTAAGTGAAATTTTTTGGGTGAAATCTAGTTTTTCTATCAGGAATTTCCACGATCGGGTGTATTACTGCGCTTACCAACAGAAAGCTGCTTGGTTTGAAAAACTTTGAAAGACTTTTACAGTACAGTACATGCTCTAATGTAACCACACCTTATAGGACTCTACTGTGATTGGACATAACAGCTGTGATGTTTCACTCTTAATGCTTCTGGTTTCCTGTCTTTTAGAATACAGAACAGCAGCTCCTGGCCTTAAACCAAAGCAATAAAGTGTTCCTGTACTGCGCTTTCCTGGACTACAGGTGCGTCTCACATCTTCAAGCACTTCTTTATGCAAACAAATGTTTCATATTTCACAATGATTAGTTTGTAATTTGCAATAATGTAACCAAATATTCAATATTGGCCTTAAAGCCTTGGGAAAATAAATCTAGGGGAAAACAAGGAACACTTGTGAACAATGACCTGACAATTAACAAATGACAAGACACATGGCAGGACCACATGACAAACAGTGAATCACATGACAGACAAGAACAAGGAACAAGACACAAAACCCACACCGTGACATAGCCCCTCCCCTATGGGCGGCTCCCGACACCCATCAAAACAAAACCACAAATGTTTAGGAGGGTGGTGAAGCGGAGGTGGTCTTGGGGGAGGGATGGAGGGCCAGGCCCGCATTGGAACCGGGACCAGGATATAGGCAAGGTGGGCCTGGATCATTAAGCGTGGGCGACCGGGGTGGAGCAGGATCTGCAGACGACCAGGGCGGAGCAGGCGACCCAGACCCCTCGGGCGGCCACGGCGGTGAAGACCCCTCGGGCGGCCACAGCAGTGAAGACCCCTCGGGCGGCCACGGCGGTGAAGACCCTTCGGGCGGCCACGGCGGTGAAGACCCCTCGGGCGGCCACGGCGGTGAAGACCCTTCGGGCGGCCACGGCGGTGAAGACCCCTCGGGCAACACTGGCGCAGGAACAGTAGACACCGGAACAGTAATCGGCCACAAGGACAGACACAAACACAGGAACAGACGCTGTTTCCGGCTCTGTAACAGACCACACACACACTGGCTCAGGAACAGACGACACACACACTGGCTCGGGAACAGAAGACACAAACACTGGCTCGGGAACAGAAGACACACACTCGAACTCGGGAACAGCAGACACACACTCGGACTCGGGAACTGATGACACACACACTGACTCGCGAACAGACGAAACACACTCGGGCTCAGGAACAAATACACACACTTGCCCAAGAACAGACACACACTCTGTCTCGGGAACAGACAGCACAGACTCGGGAACAAACAATACACACTCGGGCTCAGGAACAACCAACACACACACTGGCTAGGTAACAGACACACACACTGGTTCGGGAACAGACAACAAAATCACTGGCTCGGGAACAGACAACACACACACTGGCTCGGAGGAAGTGACGTGAACAGTCTCTGGATCGGCAGAAGTAACGTGAATAATCTCTGGCTCAGCCATCTTGTCCGTAGACACCGGCTTGGAGAAAGTGACATGAACAGACACTGGATCAGCCATCTTGTCCTTAGACACTGGCTCTGTAGAAGTGACGTGAAGCGTCTCTGGCTTGGCAGAAGTGAGGTGAAACGCCTCAGACTCGGCAGAAGTTACGTGAACAGTCTCTGGCTCGGCCATCTTGTCCGTAGACACCGGGTCGGAGGAAGTGACGTGAACAGACTCTGGATCAGCCATCTTGTCCATAGAAACTGGCTCTATAGAAGTGACGTGAAGCATTTCCGACTTGGCAGAAGTGACGTGAACAGACTCTGGATCGGCCATCTTGTCCGTAGACACTGGCTCTGTAGAAGTGACGTGAAGTGTCTCTGGCTCGGAGGAAGTGACGTGAACAGTCTCTGGATCGGCAGAAGTAACGTGAATAATCTCTGGCTCGGCCATCTTGTCCGTAGACACCGGCTTGGAGAAAGTGACATGAACAGACACTGGATCGGCCATCTTGTCCTTAGACACTGGCTCTGTAGAACTGACGTGAAGTGCCTCTGACTCGGCAAAAGTGACATGAACAGTCTCTGGCTCGGCCATCTTGTCCATAGACACCGGCTCGGAGGAAGTGACTTGAACAGACTCTGGATCGGCCATCTTGTCTGTAGACACTGGCTCTGTAGAAGTGACGTGAAGCGTTTCTGGCTTGGCAGAAGTGACGTGAACAGACTCTGGATCGGCCATCTTGCCCGTAGACACTGGCTCTGTTGAAGTGGCGTGAAGCGTCTCTGGCTCGGCAGACGTGACGTGAACAGGCTCTGACGGAGCAGACGTGACGTGAACAGTCTCTGACGGAGCAGAAGTGACGTGAACAGTCTCTGACGGGGCAGAAGCGATGTGAACAGTCTCTGACGGAGCAGACGTGACGTGAACAGTCTCTGACGGGGCAGAAATGATGTGAACAGTCTCTGACGGGGCAGAAATGATGTGAACAGTCTCTGACGGAGCAGACGTGACGTGAACAGTCTCTGACGGGGCAGAAATGATGTAAACAGTCTCTGACGGGGCAGAAGCGATGTGAACAGTCTCTGACAGAGCAGACGTGACGTGAACAGTCTCTGACAGAGCAGAAGTGACGTGAACAGTCTCTGACGGGGCAGAAGCGATGTGAACAGTCTCTGACGGAGCAGACGTGACGTGAACAGTCTCTGACGGGGCAGAAATGATGTGAACAGTCTCTGACGGGGCAGAAATGATGTGAACAGTCTCTGACGGAGCAGACGTGACGTGAACAGTCTCTGACGGGGCAGAAATGATGTAAACAGTCTCTGACGGGGCAGAAGCGATGTGAACAGTCTCTGACAGAGCAGACGTGACGTGAACAGTCTCTGACGGGGCAGAAATGATGTGAACAGTCTCTGACGGAGCAGAAATGATGTGAACAGTCTCTGACGGAGCAGAAATGATGTGAACAGTCTGTGACGGGGCAGAAGCGATGTGAACAGTCTCTGACAGAGCAGACGTGAACAGTCTCTGGCGGGGCAGAAGTCACATGAACAGTCTCTGACGGGGCAGAAGCGATGTGAACAGTCTCTGACGGAGCAGAAGTCACATGAACAGTCTCTGACGGGGCAGAAGCGATGTGAACAGTCTCTGACGGAGCAGACGTGACGTGAACAGTCTCTGACGGGGCAGAAGCGATGTGAACAGTCTCTGACGGAGCAGACGTGACGTGAACAGTCTCTGACGGGGCAGAAATGACGTGAACAGTCTCTGACGGGGCAGAAATGATGTGAACAGTCTCTGACGGGGCAGAAGCGATGTGAACAGTCTCTGACAGAGCAGACGTGACGTGAACAGTCTCTGACGGGGCAGAAATGATGTGAACAGTCTCTGACGGAGCAGAAATGATGTGAACAGTCTCTGACGGGGCAGAAGCGATGTGAACAGTCTCTGACAGAGCAGACGTGAACAGTCTCTGGCGGGGCAGAAGTGATGTGAACAGTCTCTGACGGAGCAGACGTGACGTGAACAGTCTCTGACGGAGCAGACGTGACGTGAACAGTCTCTGGCGGGGCAGAAGTCACATGAACAGTCTCTGACGGGGCAGAAGTGACGTGAACAGTCACACGCTCGGGAGGGCTGGCGTGGAGCGCAGGCTCGGCAGCGCTGATGTGGAGATCAGGCTGGTCAGGTGTAACGTGAAGATCAGGCTGAGCATACATGACGTGAAGATACTCAGACTTGGCAGGACAAGACCCCGGATGGGCGGTCTCGGCGAGATGAGACCCTGGGTTGTGCTTGGTAATGGCCCTTCTGGCAGATCGTACTGACACCAGCGGTGGGTCTGTCATGTTGGATAGTAATCTCGATCTGGTGGCCGGTCTGAGTTCTGGCGTGACATGAGGAAACTCAAGTTCAGTGGGACTTACGTGAAGCTCAGGCTCAGAGGATACCGAGGACTTACAGAGCTCCTCATTCGCAGAGCGTGAACGACTAGCCTCTCCACATCAGAGCAAAGTCAATATACTCCACAGTGTTACGAGGGGTATTGGCTGGCATGAGCTGGTAAAGTGGTTCATTGAGTCCATGGCAGAACATGTCCTTTAAGACAGCATCATTGAAATCCCCCCCATGGCAAAGGTCGCAGAATTGCTTCACGTAATCCTTGACTAGACGGTTTCCCTGGCTGAGGCGGAAGAGGCGGATTGCTGGATCCATGATTGTTCTAGTATTCTGTAACGAGTGGCTGGAGGCAAGCTGGTAAGACCCAAATGCAAACTTTAATATATAACTAAATCAAAATACAAAACAAAACAAAGGCATGAAGCAGAAGCAGAAGCAGAAGCAGAATCAGGAACAACGACAGGCAACCTGGACAAGAAACATACAATACTAGACAAAGACACATGGCAAACAAGAGGGCTTAAATACACTGACTAATTACAAGACAAGGAACATCCGTGAACAATGACCTGACAATGAAAAGACATGGCAGGACCACATGACAAACAGGGAATCACATGTTAGACAAGAACAAGGAACAAGACACAAAACCCACACCGTGACATCAATAAACATATTTCAATGAAATATGAAATCGAATGTTATTGTGTCACGCATAGACTTCTGAGAATGTCCAATCGCTGTTTTTTTACTGTAAATTATAAACTTAATGCAATTTTAACCGTATTTAATATAAAAGTCTTATTTTTAGTTTTAGTTTTACTCTAGCATTTTTACATAGTTTTTCGCAATGTCAGGCTCGTTTACATTTTTAGACCTTTTAAGGATGTCCCAACTTTCAGCCTCAGTTTCGCTGTCCAGAGATATTTATGCAGTCCTTCCTGTATAATCTCTCTCACCCATCTATCCATCTCTATCTGACATTTTAATGTCTCATTTAACGTTTCCTGTTAAAGCTTGTCAGGAAGTGCTTTGATTTATCAATATGTGTCTTGTATTTATATCCCACTGTTATCCTTTACCTATTACATACATTTATGACTTTTAGGACATCCACATCATTTTTTCATTTTGACTATTTCATGAATACAATTGTCATTATTCTAATTGATCTTGCATTCTTTCTTTAAAATTCATTCAATTCTTTTAGAAATGATGAAAGTATGTTGTTGATAAAAGGCAATCTTATACCAAAAAAGGCCAAGTAACAAAGCCAATTTTAGGATCATGAAAATTGTGAAATTATTTTAACCCCTTCATCCCTTGTCTTCTCTCTTTCGTTCCTTCTCACGCTTTTTCGATCTTTCTCCCATGTGGATATTTAAAAAATTACTGCATCCATAATGGAGTGATGAAGCTGTAATATTTTCTCTAACTGAGATTAATGGGATCTTACGTTATAGTCTTGATTTCGTTTAGATCAGATTTGATTAATAACTCTGTGGTAATTCCATTAATGCTGGACCAGGGTGTGAATGCATATGGTTTCAATATAAACAATGAATAACTCCAGCAACTGTAATGCTCAATTAAACCTGTGTGCGTGTGTGTGTGTGTGTTTCAGCTTTAAGGAGGGTGTGTGGTCCAATGAGGGTTGTTTGAGAGCTGATGGAAACCTGTCCTTCTCCATTTGCTTGTGCAACCATCTGACAAACTTTGCCATCCTTATGCAAGTGGTTCCCTTGGAGGTGAGGCACTCTCAATGACACTCAATACCTTTGAATTGTCTCCATTCCATCTGGCTTAATATCTCTATTGAAAGCAAAAACACATTCTGTCTGAGCAGCAAACCGCTGTTATTTCTAATTCTCTAATGCCATTTGGTCTTAATGCAAACAAGAGCAACTGAATCCTGCTTTACAAATATAAGCACAAGCTGACAGTACCGGAAATTTGAGGGCACTCAGTCTGTGACATCAATATCTGAGTACCTGAGTCTTATATGAGCTCCAGAAATATGCACATATACGTAGGACAAAACTGGCAGCGAAGCCTGAGGTTAGTGGAATTTCTCAAGATACCTTGATTAAGCGTTTAGGTCATATCCCATCAGGGATCTTTGAAAACACCAAGGCACTGCGATGAATGCGATGCTGACTGTGTTTCTCGTCCGCAGAGAGCCAGCAGCATGCAGGGCTTGAGGTTTTGTTTGGCCGAGACTCTCTGTAAATCAGCAGAAGAACTTTAATAGAAAAGACAGTTTGGACACAGTTGAGACACTTCTCCAGGGGTGACGTGCAGGATTTTGTTTCTAGTTCATTCGAAACTCATCGTTGTGTGTGAAAGTGTCTCAGGGGAGGCCGCTTGTCAGAGGCCGTGTGGGTCGAGGACTGTGGGCCGAGTTTGGGCGGACAAAGAGATTGTCATCTGTCAGAAAGCTCGTAAGCATCTGCCTTTGAAATACAGAACGACAGGCACGGCTTGATATTTTGGTAACCCTTGTCCTGTTGATTTACTTAAAGAGAACTGAAGAGCGAATTTAAGTCAGGCTAAAGATGCTGTCAGCAAGATGTCCTCACTAAGTAGGGGCATGTTTGTGAAGACGAGAGACATATTGCTTCACACGAAGGCTGATTGCCGTTTCGAGGTTTGTTCTGCGATTGTGCGTGAGCCAAACCGAGGCACCCAGGTGGATCTTGGCGCTTCTGCGTCTATCATCTGCATGTGTTTGTTGAGAAAATCTGTCCTCGCTCAGTCATGTAATCATCTCCTCTGGAGCTTTGATGCTAATGCCCGCCTCTGCCGGGGCCTCAATTAGCGGCTCACCTCAGTACTTCAAGCCTAGAGGAAATCGTGCTTTCTCCACCGCTCTACAGATCCTCGATATTCTGGGCCTGCGATAATCACAAGGCAGGAAGCGGAGTTAATGTACGATCGAACCCACGCACGGAAATAGAATTATGGGGAAAACAACTGCCAATAGGCCTGATGTGCAGAGTAGACGCTCCAATTACTGGCACTGGGTCTGAGGAACCGTAACAATGCAAGTCTATATCCTGACGGATGTTTGGGAATTAATCTATTCACTCTTTACCAACAGTTGTAAGGGGTCTTATCATGAAAATCTGTGAGTTAAGGGTCTTTGCACTAAAAACAGTGACAAATTTGTTTTTATAACCATCTACACTCTCTTTGATTGAAGTGTGATTGGCAAAATTGAGTTATGTTTTGTAGTTTTTAAACATTTATGAACCTTACCAAGTCCGTACCAAGACCATGTCATGTGATGCCACTAAACAATGCTCAATAATGTTTCGAAATTAAAGTGGTTTGAAGCAGTTAATATGCTATTTTCAGTTGTGGAAGTGTAGAATAAACAATTAGTGTTAAAAATGCAGTGAATTAGTTTAAATTTGAGTTTTTGTAGTAATATGTTCTAGTAAATCAATCGGTAACACTTTACAATACGGGTGCACTAATAAGCCTTAACTAATGCACAGATAATACTGAATTAATGTGTTACTAATGATTATTTAAACTATTCATTAATGATTACCACATTAGGAACTAATTAAGAGTATGTAATGTTAATGTATTAGTTCATACATGATTTGTTAAAAATGTAATTGTGGATTAATTCCATAATAACTCATTTTTTTTAAACTAATGGTGTCAATTAATATGTTAATTACCAGAAGGTACACTAATATGCATTAATACATGATTAATTACTTCATTGTTAGTGCAAATTCATGTGCAAATTATTACAATTACCAAATGACTAGTTAATAATGATGTGCCCCAACAAGTAAAGTCATAACATAATGATACCTTTGCAAATCGTTAGCCAATGATTAATTAAAGCAGACAACTAGAAGTGCGTTATTTAGGAATTAATACACCATGGCACGTTGAATTAATAGAAATTCGTGTATTACTTAATCTATTAATCATATAGACTGTTTATTAGTTGCTGATGCAGTAATCATTAATTAATGGTTTAGTTCTTCATGAGTTATACATTAACTCATGATTATCTGTGCATTAGTTAAGCATGAATTAATGCATATTAGTGCACCCGTTTTGTAAAGTGTTACCGCCAACACTTAATTTATTTGATCAAAAATACAGTATACAGTAATACAATAACAGTAATTGTGTGCGATATTATTCCAATTTTTAAGTAACTGCTTTTCTGTGTCACATGGTCTTTCATAAATCAAATGCTGATTTGGTGGTTTTCTTATTAATACCAATATTGAAAACAGCTGTGCTGATAAATATTTTTGTGGAAATCATGATACATTTGTTTCAGGATTCTTTGAAGTATATACATTTCAGAAGAACTGCATTAATTTGAAATAGAAACATTTAGTTAAATAAGCATTGTAAATATCTTTACTGTCACTTTTGGTGAATTTTATTAATTTTAAGAGAAATATTCCTGACCTCATACTTTTGAAAGGTATACTTACAGTATATATGTGCATTTGATAAAGCAAGACTGTTACTGTTCATCTTTTCTAAACCGTTGGTCTACCTTTTCTGTAAAGAGTTTGAAAAATATTTTGTTCCAAGAAATGATATGATTGATTGGATTTATGTCAGACTAATGCTTGTTTGTTCTGAAATGATGTTGAAATTTTCATTGAATATTTTGCAAACGTCAATCCAAGTACAGCTGGTCATTGGTAACCTTTGACTTATACAATCAGTGGATTGTTGCTGTGGTATTCAGTGTCTCTTATATGCAGTAACATCTGGGGTTTTCAACTCATTTGACCCCCTTCGGTTCTGTGTTTTACACTTTTACATTTCCAGCCAAATTAATCAATCTCAATGTTAATGCTGTCACATTTGTTTCCACCACAGCTGTCAAAGGCACACCAGGTGGCGCTGTCCACTATTAGTTATATTGGCTGCTCTATCTCTATTTTCTGCCTGGCAATTACTCTGGTGACCTTTGCTGTGTTGTCGTAAGTAACACATATTGCTTTTTGAACATGCATGATTATAATCTTCTATTTAAACATACAGTATATATACAGAAAATGTGAAAAACTTCTCAGTTCCTTTAAGATTTTTTATGATAACTTGTAATTTCACACAGAATTTAACACTAAAAGCTATTTAAAATTCCTTACTGTTTTTCTCTGCATACAGGTCTGTTAGCACCATCCGTAACCAGCGTTACCATATTCATGCCAACTTGGCATTTGCCATTTTAGTTGCTCAGGTCCTCCTGCTCATCAGTTTCCGCTTCAGTCCCAGCACGGTGAGTCCATCTAGCATACTCATCTTAAAGCAGTGCTTCTCAGTCCCCATTATACTCTGCTGTAATTATGACAAAGTTGCTTGTTTTCTGACAGTTATAAGATACAGATACTGGTAGTATCGATATATTAGATCAATTAATCATTATTCATTTTGTGATTCCAGAAGATTCAAGACCAGTATGTTCTTTAAATAAGGAATAATTGATTGACGGCTGTTGAATTATTAGAAAAATAACACAATCCATACACTCTAAAAATGCTGAGTTGTTTGAACCCAAATTTGGGTGAAATATGGACAAACCCAAATGTTGGGTTAAAAAAAAATGTAATTTCAAATTTAACCCAACTTCAACTGTACATTTTTTAATTGCATTTTTAACCCAACATTTGGGTTTGTCCATATTTTACCGAAATTTGGGTTCAAACAACCCAGCATTGTTTAGTGGAGTTGGTAATGCGGCCACGTAGTATAATTAAAAACAATAGTTATTTTAATAGAGAAAAAGTTGTTTTTTATTATTATTATTTAGATTTAGAGTTTGATTATTTTAATAATAGACCTTATTCAGAGCAGCGCCATGACAGGTATGAAAGTGAGGCTGTGAGGGATAGACTGTGTTTCCAATGGCATCCGCTGTAAAAAGCTGAATGAAGCGGCTAGATTACTTACAATTTTCCACAGCTTACATTGTCGGGAGTTTTTTGTCAACTGACATTTCTTTGAAAGATATTTTTCCAGTGTTTCATGAGCAGAACAATCCGAAAACACATTAAATAACAATACAGCCCATTGAAGAGATGCATGACTATCCCTAACAGCCTCGCTTTCATTCTCATTAAAAATCAAAGATGGCACTGCCGTGAATAAGGTGTATATATTGATTTAAATAAGGGTTGTCCAAAATAAAAGTGCATCCAAAATAAAAGTTTGTGTTTACATAATATATGTGGGTGCACTGTGTATATTTATTTTATATAAATAAATACACACACATGCTTGTATATATTTAAGAAATATTTTCATGTATATACTGTATACAGATTTATATATATATATATATATTATATTATATATAAATATAAATATTTTATATGTCAATATTTTTTTTCTGTGTGTGTATTTATATATATACAAAATAATTATACAGAGTGCAGCCACATATATTATGTAAACACAAACTTTTATTTTGGATGCGATTAATTGCGATTAATCGCTTGACAGCCCTAATTTAACTACTAAAGTCATCCTGCTCCACACCCTTTGAAGTGTGCTGTATGTCACAGTCCTGCACTACATTAGCAAAGACAATAACTAAAACAAAATTGGGAGTTTTTTGTTGGAGATGTTAAAGATGCTAATGAAATGTTCAAATGACATCAGCGTCTAATTTACAAGATGGGATTGTGTTTAATTGTGTTTGTTGTCTATGGTGATTATCGTATCATTATCAGGAACATGTTGTCATTATATAAAGTAATCCAATAAGGTGGAAAGAGCCGATGATGATGCTCCACTAATCTCCTAACATGCCTCTGGCATTACGGACAGATTCATTTGATACTCAGTTAATTTGATTGTGCGTCCTCTCTCTGAGGACTTGGCTGAACACCCGCTTAGCTCAATGATGCTGTCGCCCACGTGTTTATTTTAACAGCATCTATTACATTAGCTATGATTTACAAATTAGATCAGTTTTCTGTGCAGTGCATTTTGTCTAGACACTAAGGCCACAGTGCATGATACTGTCCTCTGCCACCCCAGCTCCCATGTAAGATCATGGCCGTGTTGCTGCATTTCTTCTTCCTCTGTGCGTTCGCCTGGATGCTGGTGGAAGGTCTGCATCTCTACAGCATGGTGATCAAGGTGTTCAGCTCGGAGAGCAGCAAACACTTTTATTACTATGCCATTGGATGGGGTGAGTACAACATTTTGCAGGTGGAGACTCACAGATCACAGATCACAATTGGTACATTATATTACATTGTCATCCAGAATCATCTCTTCAAGGGGCATTTGGCAACTATTTCAACTTATTAAAACCGTTTAGAAATCATCATTCCCAGGCGAAAAACCAACCTTGCAACATGAGGACTGACGTCCCAGTAAGTTGCAAATAGAAGTAGCGAGAACGAGCGAGAAACACAAACTGTTTTATGGTAATTCGACATAATTCTATGAAACTGTGTATGATGTTTTACCTACTCGGTAGACACAGCTCCACACGATAGAGTTGGCCGGCTCCGATAATAACACATGCACATGAGCAACGGTAGAAAGCGGGAGGAAGGCGCTGCAAGTGAGCTTCTTTGTGATAGTGTTGTGAAATATACACCGCACAGCTATAGGGGGCGCTGATGAGAATATATGCCACAACAAAAGTGGAAATCAGTGAAGAAATGACTATAGTTGCCAAGTACCCCTAATAGACATAGATATGTATATAAAGGCTAGATGTGTTACGGCGGAGTTTCCATCGTCATCACCGGCGGCCATCTTGTCACAGAAAAGCTGATGTAAGTGGTCAGCACGAACACAAATACTCTTATCTCGTTGAAATCTTGACGGATTTACAAACGGTTTGGTTTCTTACAAACGTTTTTAACGTGGCTATAATTATCTGGATGATTATTTATTTATACACTTTTTATTCATAAGTATGCAGTGTCATAACTACATCTCTGACGTTTATAACAAAACAAACCATTTGAAAATTGGTAGAAAATTGAGCAAGTTATGGTCATTTAAATAGCACATGTACCATTAACCCAATGTTACGAGTGAGCGAGCTGCCTGTGACAAGATGGCCGCCAGGTGCAGAAGTCGACCTCCATTGGCCAGCAGAGTGGACGACATATCTAGCCTTTACATAGATATCTATGCTCATATATATAGACTAGATGTCGCCTTGGCTACGGCAGTTACGCCTTGGCTACAGCCGCCATCTTAGAACAGGGGAGCCCCTCCACTTTAATACATCAGCGTCAATGTAGACAAAGGTCTAACGGAAATATAATCACCATAAATCATCATGAATGCGATTTTCTTTTTTTTTTTTTTTTTTTTTTTTTTTTCGTTCCAACATGTATTTATCATTGATTCCAGAAAAAACGTACAAAAAAAATGTATACATTCTTTCTAGTTCAGATTTCAATCGTAAACATCATACGAAAAGTCTGCCACCATCCATTAATTCGAAGTAAAGGCAGAGATAGCGGCGTTATCCAGCTACTTCCTATGGCAAGACCCCTGTTCCAAGATGGCGGCGGGTTTGACGCATGCTTAGAACCCGAAGGTGACGTCTAGTGTATATGTCTAAGAGTGCCCCTTTAAAAGTGCTGAAAAAACCTCTACAACACATTTGAATTGATCCTGTTTAAACACTATAATTTGATAATCGTTTGACGAATAACTACTGTCATGACTAGAATAAATGAAGAGTTCAGATGCAAAAGCCTCTAAATGCCATTTGAAATTTTCTTCTAAAATGACCATTTTTATCAAGCTTATATATTTAAGTTCAGTAATTTCACTTAAATGACAATATAGGTAATCTTTATTGTCATTTAAGCTAAATTACTGAACTTAAATATACAAGCTTGATAAAAATGGTCATTTTAGAAGAAAATTTCAAATGGCATTTAGAGGCTTTTGCATCTGAACTCTTCAAATACACAATGTATCTTTTAAGAGAAATTCCATTTACCACCTGCTTTCTGTGGGCACAAAAGCGTAGTTGTAATCGCACCAGGCTTTTATGATCTAGAAGCATCTGTGATGAGCAGAATTTACATATAAACGAGGCATTTGAGCTGAAAAGACACTTGGCCTCAAGTATTTGTGCATGAAATCTGCATACAAACCTTTTCATGAACAAATCATGATTCACCACTAACATTTGATAACATTCAACATAAACAAAGAAATTTAGAAAATGGAGCCACACATAAAATCACATACTCTGATTAAGATTAAGATAAATCATATTTCATCAAGAGTTTCTCATTATAAAAATGCACATAAGCGTGGGTAATGAGAGGTCTGTAGTCTGTTATCTAGCCTGTTTGAACTGGATTTGAGAACGGCAAACTTGGTATTTTTTGAGGAACTAGCTGCGCACGCTTAACATAAACAGTCAGTCACTGGTTAAAAGTCATTGCGATTTTAGCACATAGATAAACTGTATTATGTTATGAGTTATCTGTGAATAAGACGCCAGATTTTGATCTAAAAAGGCCACAGATACAGTGGTGCTGTTTAGTGAATTAATCTCCGTGTACACACTTCATTACACAGACATGCTTGATCTAACTTACAGAAAGAAAAACATCAGATTTATCTCATTTGCCTTAAACGACCCGTTTCAGTGTAATACACAAACCGATATGTCAAATGAGGTTGTCCCACGGCAGGCATTAGCACTGAGTCCGGCCTCCTCCCTCAGCCATAATTTGGCAGTGTTGTTAAAAAAAGAGATTAAAAGAAGACATTTGTGCGTTACAGTCCGTCTGAGCTGTCAGTTGATAAAAGGACGATAAATCTTAGCCAAGTCTTCAGTGGGTCATCGCTAATGATGCCGTCACTGTTTTTTATTGAGCTGGTCTCAAATGTGCAGATGACAACATGTGTTTTGTCTTATTTTCTCTGTGGCTCTTTTGAGAACAGTTTATAATCTGCTTTTTTTTAACATAAAATGACATTGCCAGAGCTACAATGGGCCTTGAAGTAAATCAAAGTTGGCAGCATGATAACTGAAGGTGTTTTTCATCATTACATATGAAAAAGTGTTGAATAAATAGGCATATTTATCTGTATCCCTGGTGATACATGTTATTGGCTCAATGTGGATGAAGAAAACAGGCTTTGTTAGACTTAAGTCATTACTTTAGACTGAAGTCTACTCCCTTTCTAAAAGCCTTTGGCACAACTACACTGCTCTTTATTTATGGTGGCACGAAACAACCGGCCACAGTCCAACAGTTCTTATTTTAGTTCCTACGACATAATCTGAAAACTTCTTTGCTGAGTTTTAAAACAAGGTATTTTTAGCTCCAGTAACATTTCAGGCTTTTCCCCCCTAAACATTTGTCTTTTCACATGTAATCCACATATAACAAAAACATATGGTGAGAGAGAGGGGAATTTGGCAACACTACTAGTGTAGATATTAATGTTTTTGAAAAAAAAAAAAATATCTTATGCTCACCAATTTATATCTGGATTTATTTGGCCAGAAATACAATGAAATTGTGAAATATAATTACAATTTAAAATGAAATACTGTATATTCCTGTGATGTTTTTAATTTTGTCTGTCACACACTGTAAAAAAAAAAAAAATGTTGGTTTAACTTAAAAAAGTAAGTAACCTGTTTGGCTTAAAATTTTAAGTTCATTAAATGGAAAAAGTGAGTTAATACAATGAAGGAGATTGATTTAATCATCAGAAACTCAAAATTATATGTTATCTGAACTAAATAAATTATTTATGTTGATTTGACAAAAGAAAAAATGTTTTGTTTTTTTTACAGTGCATGATCCTTCAGAAATCATTCTAATATGTTGATTTACTGCTCAAGAAACATTCCTTATATTATCATTATCAATATTAAAACTATTGTAAACACATTTTTATATGTAACAGTGTAACATTCGCTTTTGATCAATTTAATGCATCCTTGCTGAATACAATAAATTTCTTTCAAAAACAACAACAAAATGTTTAAGTGTTAATGTGTTTTCGTCATTTCAAGTTGTATAATTTAACAATGGGAAATAGTATATTTAAACATTTACATTAATAAATCATAAACCATATGTATTTATTAGTATGCACAGTAGCCTATATTTGTGTTCCTCACCACTTTTAACCTCATTTTTGCATTAAAAACATCATGCAGTGTGACAAAGTAGTTATTAAAAGTGTGAATGGTAACACTTTAGTTTAGGGTCCAATTCTCACTATTACCTGGTTGCTTATTAGCATGGATATTGGCTCTTTACTAGTACTTATAAATCACATATTAATGGCTTATTCTGCATATTCCACGTCCCTTAATCCTACCCAACATAAACGTAACAACTACCTTACTAACTATTAATAAGCCGTAATTAGGAGTTTATTGAGGCAAAAGCCGTAGCCAATAGTGAGAAGTGTGACTGTGTGAATACATGGATTCGATGAAAATGTTGTTTAAATGCTTGAAATTTCCCTCTAAAACTGTTCATGCTTTTACTCAGGATGCCCTCTGGTCATTTGTGTGGTGTCTATGACCGTGTCACTCAACAGCTATGGAGAAGTTGGCAAGTAAGTAACCATAATAACACTGTGGGTCTTGACATGGTCAACAGATGTCCAGTTGGAAGAGAAAAGATTACTTGTTTGATATCATTTGCCCATTTTGTTTCATCTTTCTCCATAGTTGCTGGCTGTCTCTGAATAACGGGGCGATTTGGGCTTTTGTAGCCCCTGCTCTGTTTGTTATAATGGTAAGCAGCTGTTAATTAGGTTTGTTAAATAAAATGCACTAGGTGAGCATGAAAGGAACCTTTGTAATGTTGTAATCTCTGCCATCCAGGTGAACATTGGCATTTTGGTAGCTGTGACACGAATCATATCCAGAATCAGCGCTGAGAACTATAAGGTTCACGGAGATTCCAACTCTGTGAAGTGAGTTTATCGGCTATCATGAATGTAATATCGTCTATCTTACATTTACTTATTTCATACAGTATGTGTGCTTGTGTGTGTGTGTGTGTCTTTCTAGGCTGACGACTAAAGCAGTTGCAGTGCTCTTGCCCATCCTGGGCATATCATGGATCTTCGGGGTTCTGGCAGTGAACGACCACTCCCTGCTTTTCCAGTACATGTTTGCAGTGTTTAACTCACTACAGGTCAGAAATCACTACTGTGTAACACACCAGCGCTGCACTGAAGACCACAGGTCTTACTCAAACTGATTGATTTTCACTTCGATAACAGCCTCCAAAGTCAACAGCGTGTTTGCCAAACAATGTCAGCTTTAAAAAAAATGAGACATAACAATGTTTGAAATGACTTTGGACCTGGACTGACTTGTAAGAACTTTTGCAAATGTGAATTGGAGCGCTTCCATGATATTTAGTGTTATCTGTTGTTTTCCTTTTTTTCCTCAAAGGGGTTCTTCATATTCCTGTTTCACTGTCTGTTAAACTCTGAGGTAAGAGCATGTTTGTGCAGCTGCGTTTGACGTCTGTGCTGCATGTCAGGGGAAAATACCTTATGTTCCCACAGCAAACTGGTGTAAATGATGGAGTTTGTTTTATGGAGTTGAAGTGTGATCGCCATCTAGTGGTGATGATTTGACACTCCATTATGTGAATGCACATTTTAAGGCCAAATCGCACTGCACCGACGGACAAGCACCAGATTACAGTACATCAGTTCTTTAGCATGTTCATTCGGCTAAAACAAGCTCCAACAGATGCCAACACTAATCCAACAAAACCCTGTATCTGTTGCCGTCTGTCGACGCAGTGTGAATTGGTCTTTCTTTAGAGACACTTATAAACTCAATCAAAATCTCTTTTTGATATAGACCATTTTGCAAGATGTAAACAACACTGGTCCAGAAACACTTCCTGTTTCAGTTTGTAACTGTTTTCTTTATTTCACATGTAAAGAAAACATCTTTAAGATGTTTGTTTTACTTTTTGATTCAGTTTTAAATGTTCTGTTGGTTGTATTTTATCCCATAATGTAGTGTTAAAAAACTGAAACAGGAAGTGCTTCTGGACCCGTGTTGTTTACATCTTGCAAAATGGTCTATATACCAAGTGTCAAGCATGGTGTTTGTTAACAGAATTCATGTCTTATTACTGCTCAACAGGTCAGGGCTGCTTTCAAACACAAAACCAAAGTGTGGACTTTAACCAGCAGCTCAATCCGCAACATCAACGTCAAACCTTTCAACTCAGACATTGTGAGTAATTCCTGTTCTTTTCATTTTTACTTTTGTATTGTTCATGACCAGTGATTTTAGACTTACCCTTGCGAAAAAATAAGTACACTTTAACATGCTTCAACATAAAGAGCACTTATTATGGAAATAATATACTTTAAAAGAATATACTTAATTAAATGTTTTCAAAATAAATTATAGTTTAAATATATTAAATGTTGAACTTAACAGTGCTTTTTCGCCCCTCTTCAGTCCTAAGTACATTTTTGTAATTTTGTAATTACTTCTATTTGAAATATGGTTAAAGTGTACTGTTCAATGTAACGACAAGCATTTTTGGTAAACTAAAATATACTTTTATGACATTCCTATCGAAACTTCTATGCCATGTATAAATATATGATTGTAATGTTGGAATTTAGAACATTTAAAAAAATTACTTTAGATGTAATATCGAATAACACTACAGCTAAAGTTATAATCAAGTACTTTGCATGTGCTTTAGTATGTAAGCCAACACATCAAAATAAGCGCATTTCTTTAAAGCACGACAAAAGATTGTTAAAACAGTGATTTAAAATGTACTTTAAACTTAAAAAAGGGTTTAATGTGACATTATTACAAAGTGCAAAATTAAAAAAAGGTTTTAAAACAACCATGAAAGTGTACTCTCTTTATGCACACTCAAGTGGCCTGTTATTTTGTTAATATATATATATATACATATATATATATATATATATATTTTGAAAAATATACTTTTAAGATTTGAAGTACACATTCAGTACAATTAAAGGAGTAGTTCACTTTTGAAAAAAACCTTTTGCTGATAATTTACTCACCCCCATGTCATCCAAGATGTCCATGTCTTTCTTTCTTCAGTCGAAAAGACATTAAGGTTTTTGATGAAAACATTCCAGGATTTTTCTCCATATAATGGACTTCACTGGGAGCCAAACGGTTCAAGGTCCAAAAGAAACTTTCAGTACAAACTGCAAACTTGTTCAAAGGGCTTTAAACGATTCCAGACGATGAATAAGGGTTTTATCAAGCGAAACGATCGCTCGTTTTATAAATAAATAACAAATTTTAAGTTTTATAAGCTCAAACGCTCGCCTTGCTCTGTTCTGTAACACTCTCCTGTTCGAACTCGTTCATCAAAATGAACAAATCTTTTTCCGAGTCATTTGGTTCATTCGGCGAAAGAAACGAACGAATTGATTTGGAAAAAGATTTGTCCATTTTGTTGAACGAGTTCGAACATGAGAGTCACAAACGTGCACCACAGAACAGAGCAAGGCGAGCGTTTGATCTTATAAAACTTAAACTTTGTTTTTTTTTTTTGTTTTTTTTAAATGAGCAATCGTTTCGCTTGATAAGACCCTTATTTATCGTCTGGAATCGTTTAAAGCCCTTTGAACAGTTTGCAGTTTGTACTGAAAGTTTCTTTTGGAACTTGAACGGTTTGGTTCCCACTGAAGTCCATTATATGGAGAAAAATCCTGGAACGTTTTCATTAAAAACCTTAATTTCTTTTCGACTAAAGAAAGAAAGACATGGACATCTTGGATGACATGGGGGTGAGTAAATTATCAGCAAAGGTATTTTAAAAAGTGAACTAATCCTTTAAGCACAGTTCTTCCTCACAAAGGTTTTCGGAAATAAAAACATGTATTAATCTGCTTTTCTTTCGCAGATGAACGGCAACAAGGGAGGTGTGACTCCCACGAGGATGAACACGTGGGACAAGAGCACCAACTCTGCCAACCGCATAGATTTGTCAGCAGTATAATGGCTTCTGATGAGGACAACGGCGTAGCAATTCTTGTAGAAGATGTGCCGATCTAAATCGCATTTTAAAAGGACTTCAATGGTGAAATGGCTACAAACACTTGCAGCTAATTGTATGGTTAACTCACAACACAAGGTTCTCTGATGTCATTTGCTCCTGCTGATGATCTCTCTATTACAAACATTGGATGAAGACACAAAGCCCGTTGTTGGGATAAAGGAGCCCATGACTTTCATCATTTGCTAATAATGTGGCCTGCTGAGGACTCTGAATTCATGAAAATATACTAACTCTCACAGACAGGAGACTCTCCTGCTTGCTCTGCTTGTTTGGATAATACACTAGATCTGTGCTACACTTGGACCACTGTTTGGCCGTCCTTCAAAAAGAGGAGTCATGTACAGGTCTGGATTGTCTCAACTTTTGGAAGAAAGAATCTTTGCAACAGTCCTCCTTAGTGAAGTACGTAGCAGCTTCTATTACTTCCTGTCCAATTGACACTAAAGTTCCTGCTATTGCTTTTTCAGTTTTTCAAAAATGCTTACACATTTTTATGAAACTATGGCTCCATTTCTTAAAAGCTCTACAAACAAGATTCAAAACGTCACACGTATCTTGCAAAAACTAACACTTCATTCAAAACTATATTAACTCTTCTAAAAGTGCTATTTTTGTGGTAACTCGACACAAACAAGATTAGCCACATACACGCCAAACTACACGCATATGTGAAAAATGTAAAACACAACTCTCTTGTGCCTTTTGCTTGTTCAGAGTGCAGAAAAGTGCACATAGCACTCGCGTGTACATATGGACAAATGCACTGTATATACAGTATGTATGCACAACCGATTAATTTTACACAATTATGGAACTGAACTAAATCAATACTGAAGTGACTTAAGCTGAATAATGACACTATTGGCTTGTGTGTATATATATATATATATATATATATATATATATATAATCACCTAGGATTATTAGGAACACCTGTTAAATTTCTCATTAATGCAATTATCTAATCAACCAATCACATGGCAATTGCTTCAATGCATTTAGGGGTGTGGTCCTGGTCAAGACAATCTCCTGAACTCCAAACTGAATGTCAGAATGGGAAAGAAAGGTGATTTAAGCAATTTTTTATAGCGTGGCATGGTTGTTGGTGCCAGACGGGCCGGTCTGAGTATTTCACAATCTTCTCAGTTACTGGGATTTTCACACACAACCATTTCTAAGGTTTACAAAGAATGGTGTGAAAAGGGAAAAACATCCAGTATGCGGCAGTCCTGTGAGCGAAAATGACTTGTTGTTGCAAGAGGTCAGAGGAGAATGGGCCGACTGATTCAAGCTGATAGAAGAGCAACTTTGTCTGAAATAACCACTCGTTACAACCGAGGTATGCAGCAAAGCATTTGTGAAGCCACAACACACACAACCTTGAGGCGGATGGGCTAAAACAGCAGAAGACCCCACCGTGTACCACTCTTCTCCACTACAAAAATAAAAGAGGCTACAATTTGCAAGAGCTCACCAAAATTGGACAGTTGAAGACTGAAAAAATGTTGCCTGGTCTGATGAGTCTCGATTTCTGTTGAGACATTCAGATGGTCGAGTCAGAATTTGGCGTAAACAGAATGATAACATGGATCCATCATGCCTTATTACCACTGTGCAGGCTGGTGGTGGTGGTGTAATGGTGTGGGGGATATTTTATTGGCACACTTTAGGCCCCTTATTGCCAATTGGGCATTGTTTAAATGCCACGGCCTACCAGAGCATTGTTTCTGACCATGTCCATCCCTACCTTGTACCCATCATCTGATGGCTACTTCCAGCAGGATAATGCACCATGTCACAAAGCTCGAATCATTTCAAATTGGTTTCTTGATCATAACAATGAGTTCACTGTACTAAAATGACCCCCACAGTCACCAGATCTCAACCCAATAGAGCATCTTTGGGATGTGGTGGAACGGGACCTTCGTGCCCTGGATGTGCATCCCACAAATCTCCATCAACTGCAAGACGCTATCCTATCAATATGGGCCAACATTTCTAAAGAATGCTTTCAGCACCTTGTTGAATCAATGCCACATAGAATTAAGGAAGTTCTGAAGGTGAAAGGGGGTCAAACACAGTATTAGTATAATGGTCCTTTATAATCCTTTAGGTGAGTGTACAGTATACACACTATAAACAGAAATAAAAGGGGGCAAAAAAAATCTTTCTCAAAACACTGAGTTTTGATTTCTAAGTGATCAATTTATGGATAAGTGTTTTCACACATCATTTGGTGTAGGTACTCAGTAAATGAAAATGGCATTTAAATTGCAGTGTTTTCTAAATAAAACAAAAGAGATGTTAGTTTTGAATGATGTGTGTAATGTAGAGACAACTGTGTTTAGAGTTTTGCAAAATGTTTGTTTTACAATAGCAAACTGAGTTTAAAGCACGTAATGTGCTTGTAGTTTGATTCGGTACACAAATGAATGGTTTCACTGGATGGGCCTCAAGTACCACTTTTAGTGTCTAAGCAAATTAAAAACTGTAATTAGACCTAAAAGAGAAATACAATACTGGCAAAAGTTTTTCCTGATCATTGGGACGTTGTTCATTGTTTTCTCATTTTTTTCTAGCATTGTAAATGGCACTTTTTTAACCAAAAAGGGTTTGAATGGAGACTGAAAAATGTGGCTTTTTTCAACAGGGGTCAATGTGAAAAGTGATAAATCGCAAAATTGTTGTTTTTGCAACCCTGTTACTAATACTAGCAACGATCACCAACATTAAATGACAAGATTTATATATAGTGTGTGTGGGTGAGGGAGGGCATCTGGAGCTAGTTAGTTTGAGACCAAATAGTTATAAATGAAATCAAATTTCCAATAAATCGAAGTAAAAAAATTTTTTTTCTTAAATAACTTTGGTAATAGGGTTGAAAGGTTGACATTGACAAAAACAGTAAACACTTTACTACTGGCGTATCAATGAAGAAAATGGACTGAGCTTATTTCATTTCTTCATGTCTTCTGTGTTTTAATTTTTTATAATAGGGAAAGATCATGTGATAACAGGGTTGCATGTAAACTATGGAATACAGATAAATATATTTTGGTGATTAACATGAATGATTAAAATTAGTTAATAAATACTAATTAGTAATCAAAACTAATGCATTCAGTTGTTTACTCAAATTAATTAAACATTATTATATGATTTAAAAAGATGTATACTGTTGAGAAGGTCAAAACCTCTGAGGTGGGACAGGGTAATTTCATGTTAGATAATAGTTTATTTAATAATTCGTAGAACAAAAAAACAAAAAACAAACAAACAAAAAAAAAAACATCAGGAACTGTGGCTCTTATGCTTTAAAACAGTACTGAACACCAAATAGTGATAGTACCCTGTTCTTGGAAAGTGCCACATAGTTCTGTCATTTCATGATGTTTACTAGTATGCATCAGTTCACAAAGGTGGACACTTTTGTGATGTCAAAAACACAGAACTCATGTTAAATGCCCTAAAGGCAGTGTGTGACACACATAGCCATACAGTGTCTGTAATTGTTTCATTGGTACCAAGACAGGTCAGTGTGTTTTTAATGTGTGACCATTATATCTTTTAAATTATTTTCGTTGGCATGTTCCAACAAGACTTTGATACTGCTTGAAATATGATCTTATTCAGTATCATAACTGTTATTTTTCTCAACGTTATAGCTTAATCAGCTATTGTTTTTAGTTTATGAGTGGATGTCTGAGTATTCTTGATTTTGGTACATTAAGGTACTTTATTTCAGCAAGACAGTTTCTCCCAAATGAACATTTAAACACCAAGTGCACTTCTTATCTGTTTGTTATTTAATATTTGAAAATTGTGTTTTGCAGTGTCTCTCAATTAGGGGACATTCACTATTTTTCTATCTATAACACATTTATGTAATGTTTTACTCATATGAAAATGCTGGAACCATGCAGTGAAAGTACACCATATATGACTGAACTTTTACATATTCACATTACACATGCTTCTAAAGTATTAAATAGCACTGGTATGATCTAAGCACACACACACACACACACACACACACACACAGAGGAAGTGCCTACAAATTCCAGCAAAAGTTTTTTTCTTAAATGTTTATAATGTGAGCAATCTTTCTGTGAAGTTTTTATTCAATTTATTCTCTTTCCTTGATTTATTCTGTTCTAATGCAAATGGTTTTCACTGTTTTCTTTTGAAAAATAAAGAGTACGCCAAATAAAAACTTTTATTTATGTCTGATAACTGTAGCCGACTGTGATATGACATAAAGTGAGTTGTACATATTAAGTCCTATATTCCTACATGTCTCTTTTATAAGAGTGTCCTTCTGAATATAAATCGCTAAATCTAGACATAATCGACTTTTCTGCATTTTCTCTGATTCATTTTCAGGGGTAAATCTGCGGAATGGATCTAATATTACCAAAATATTTACAAACATGCAGTTCTAATCCTGCAGAAATCTCTGGGAATAGATTCAGTGTACAATACTGACTGCTTATTCACTATGAGGATGGGGATATATGATGGATATTCATGAGTGTATTACTTTTATAGTACAGAGAGTCCTTCATGTTTAGAGAAGGATTGTGAACAGTAACATGCATTGAAACCTTAAATGTTGGTTGTGTTCACAAGTAAAATCTGAATTATGTTAAAAAAAAACTGATTATGTTTTGATTATCTTTGACATCCATTAAATTGGTCATTATGTTTGTAATATGCCGTGTATTTCTGTTTTGAATAAAATTGACTAGTATTGACATTATTCATTTGTGATTTTTAATGTACCATTTATGTCTTAAAATGTCTTTTATGTCTTAAAATCATTCTTAAAAACATACATTTTTTCCTTCTGTAAGCTATGTGAAGATTCGGCAATACAAATTCAGCTATTTATACAGAGACCATTTTCATTAGATTTTAACTGTTTTTTGTCTCATTTCTAACAAACTGTCATCTGCAGGAGGAAGTTTAGGGTGAAAAAAAATGTAATTTATTTCTGTGATGTCAAAGCTGAATGGTCAGCAGTACTTCGGTCATATTACATGAAGCTATAGCCTACCTTCAGTATTTTTGGTCATTTTAACTTTCCCGTAGGCCTAATATTTTGTTAGCCTACAAGCAATATTAAAAATAATAATAATTTTAATAAATTGTTATTAAAAACGTTTTATTATAGATTCAGGCATTATTTTTGGTCAACACTTGAATGTTGGTAAGTGTCATTAAAAAGCAACACTTTGAACAACGATGAGAAAAGTCTTTTTGTCAAGACTACTTCCGCTTCTTCCTCACCTGTTGTGATGTGGAGAGCGCCCCCTTCTGTTACTTTTCATACGTTTTATTTGAATTCTTTATTTTTATTATTATTATTATTATTTTAATGCTTGAAATAACCATTTTATTGCGTTTTGCCAATGTTTTTTTTTTATTTTTTTTATTTTTATTTTTTTAGACATTATACAAACATACAAACAATGTTTTGCCAATGGTTTTACCATGACAGGATTGGAGAAAATGACGTTTGTCCTGCAGGAAGTGTCATCATCATGGCCCATGCGTGATGACACATATTTAAAACCTTAACACGCTCAATGGCTCATAGATTTGGCAGATTAAAGCGTGACTGGGTGGGGAACAGTTGAGTTGGGATACAAAGCAGATTCATTGACTGCGTTCATTGCAAATGACTGATGAAGGCTCCCAGGCGGCTTTTTCAAATGTAAGTTTAAGGAGTTCTTGCAGCTATAGGCTACGTGTTATGTGCGGAAAGGGAGCAGAATACGAATTAGAATACTTCTAATATCATATATCATTAGGATTGGGGTGGATGTGTTTATATGCCAAACGTTCAATTTAATATTATGAATTATATAATAACCCAGAAGAGTGCTCAGATAATGCTCTTATTCATTCAGGGCAATGAATAGGATGATGCAAGCAGTACCACATCCAAAAAAGCAGACAATGACAAACAGGCAGCAGCTATAACCAGTGAAATACCACATGGAAACGGTTCCTCAAGTGGATTTTTGGGAATTCTGCCTCTATTTAATGAACATCAAAAATTCGAAATGTCTACCTGTCATTTTGTAATAAGTGCAGCCCTCGATAAAGAGGCTTTACATTTTATTTTATTTATTTATTTTCATAAATCATTCATCTTTCATTGGCTAAATAGCCTACTACATCCATCTATCAAAAGTTTGAGCGTTGCAATTATGTAATTTTACCACACGATGGCAATGTTGTTATCTCTAAATCGAAATGTGAAAGAAGAAAACGGCATCATATCTTGAAAAACATATCTTGACCATGAACTTGACTTTTCATGTTATTATATAATTTAATTATCTAGTATCACTTAGAGAGGGCAGCGTGGTAATAAGCTATATAATCGTATGACTTTACCATGCTCTGTGGTGTTAATGTGTAACTTTCTTAGTTGTGTTAAAACATTTATAGAATCATCTTATCATCCTTTAGTGCATTTCTCAAAATAATCCATTCAAACAGCACCACACAATGAATTACTTACAAAAAGCATGTAACTTTCTCAAAATCCTAAGTACATCTCTCAAAAGTAATTATGCCAATGAACATTTCAGTGGCATCAGAATGAACATAACCCTGTCAGTATTTTCAGATAGCCTAAACTATGGCTATTATTTGATGACAATGATTGAAAATGCACAATACTGCACTTTATATGTATGGAACATATACATTTCAACAGTACTTATTTATACTTTATGTGGATATTGATTGCAAGAGAATGGACAGGATTCAGTTACACTTTTACTGTTGGTCTGTCAATAATTTTTTCAATATGGCATTACAGTAAGTTACAGGCTATACAATGTTACAGTATAGTGAACATTGTCTGATTACATGCCCATAGAAACGTTTGAATGATTGAGGACACGGATGTTCTCCGAACATTCGGCTGAACCTTTCGACCCGCCTCGGCCCATAAGGTCATGTTTGAAGAACATAGTGTGGCCCTTATTTCATCAGAAACATATCGCCACTTCTACCTCTTCCACTCTTTTCCATCCTTCCTCTTCTTCTTCAAGACTGTTTACCCTGCTTGTTTCCTTGTTGTTCTTCCATTTGTCAGAATTTGTAACTGTGTTGTGCCCTTTCCGTATACGCTTGCCCAATAAAGCTTCACGACATGCACCTCTGAGCTATTTTAGATAACTGGTTGATCATTGGTTGATCTTGTCCTTTATATTTGCCTTACATTTTACATTAGTGAAATTAAAAATTAACCTCCGCAATTAGTCAATTAAGGACACATTTACAAAAAAAAAGGTATAATATAAATGTATAGAAAATATGCAGTTTATGACAACCAGTTCAACCATTCTGCATTAATGACTTTTGCAAGGAAGGAACCAATACCTAGATGTTCTTTCTAGAGTTCTTTGTTTACTTTAGTTTTCCCTTTATTTTGCCTTAGAAGTTTGCTTTTTCCTTTTCCTTTACTGGTTACTTCATACCTTTTATATAGCTTTAGTTCTTTATTTTTCTCTTTATTTGTTTGCTACTTAGTAGTTTAGGCTAGTTGTTGCAAAGCATTAGTTTCCGCCATCTGTTGTTGTTTCGTCTTGTGTTTGTGTATTCCTTGCCCATTGTTTGGACTGTGTTCACTTGCCTCATTGTGTCTTGTCTGTTTGTTAATAATTCAGTGTAACTCATTCTGTGCTTGAGTCCTCTATCATAGATGCCTGATATTTACTGTATAAACATGGACGGACAACTGCAGTAGCTAAAAAAATTACATTTATTTTTGTAGAAATGTTACATCTAAACTGAATATTATTGTCATGGAAGAGCAATAGGAACATATGATAATTTCTGCACAAATAAATATACTGTATAAATTCAATATATATGTATAAGTTTGTTTTCTTTGTGTGTTCTACAGTATTGACTTTTCACTGTCAGTTTTTGGATCTGTGTTTAAAAAGCTCAATGTGTTCCACAGAAGCATTCAACTAGATACAACTGACATCATCTTTTATAGAATATAATCAGTTAGTCAACAAAAAATTAGAAAAAAACCATTTGTATACAAAGCATATTACGTAAGTTGAAAAAAACATCATCAATATGGTTTACATGACAAATATGACAAATACATACACAATAACTAGATTTTGGTGAATTAATTAAATGTTTTGGGTGAGTTACTACATTTTGCAGGCATCCAAACAGCACTTGGAGTTTAGATTGAAAAAAGTGCCAAAGTGGTTAAGAAAAACTGAAAACACAAAAGGGAACAGTATAGTTTTAACAGGGAACATTTAATTCATTTTGATTTACATAACATATGCAATTGATAATGTTGGCTATTCTCAATTGCTTGTGCCAAAGCATTAGCAATTTATTTTTAAGGAATGATAAATTGTTTCATGATGTGCACAAGTGGTTAAAAGATGAGGTGGCGGTTGAACAAGTAGATTTGAGAAATTCAGTTTTAGAAATTCAGTGAGAAAAACTAATGACAGACATACAATATGTTTTAGAATTATGTGACGTGCTGCCATTTACCAGTTAGACAGATCTAATAGATGGTAGGCTATGCAGTGTATTAATAATAATGATAAATTGCTGTTTAATTATTACAACTAATAATATATTTTTCCCACATAAAGAATTTTGCAGTCAACCTGAACCTAAAGTCAACCTTTCAGCTGTTCTAAAATGACTGTCCCGGCTCATTGACAAGCGCATGCGCAGATGCAGCCACTAGTGAACAGACCAGACTGGTAGCGCGCATGCGTGTAATGGACACGCACCGTTCAAGTTGTTTTGTGAAATGCGCACGCAGAACACTTTCCAAACAAAACAGTGCAGCCGAGGCGTCACGACCGACTTCTGACAGTTTCTGAATCTACTTTAGCACACTTTTATGAGCATCGTTTATGAAAAACAGTGTTTTAAAATAGTATGATCAAGATGACAGTGACTTTGGTTGTATTAACAAGAAGGTAGCGAATACCGATCATGACCGAAGTGTCAGATTGTTTGGGTGCGAAGCAGCTGATGGGAAGCGATATACGGGTCCAGTTCTCCTGTAATGTAGGGATCCACGGCGCACAGACAGATCCCTGACACCCTTAACTCACCCGTGGATTTACTGAGCTGCTTTCAACTTTAAACAAACGATGGAAAGTGTTGGAAAATACGAGTTCAACAGGAAAGATTTGATAGGACACGGCGCTTTTGCTGTGGTGTTCAGAGGAAGACATAAACAGGTAAGTTGTACATTTCCTAATGTTCGTAACAGATTATGCAAATAATCAATCTACACGGCTACCATAAAGTGAAACGATCTCTTTATCCATAGAAACATCATTTTGGGGTCGCTGTGAAGTGCATTAACAAGAAAAATCTCGCCAAATCACAGTCGCTCTTAGGAAAAGAAATCAAGATATTAAAGGTGAGTTTTCCTAGTTCGATGTTGGGAGAGTTTGTTTGTTTACGCACATGATTGCTTGCTACTTTTAACAAATGCCGGTTTATTCTCATAGATATTGTTAAACATGTCGAAAATCTGTGAGCTGTTCTGTATTTTAAAGACTTCTAACGTTACAGTTGCTAGTGACGTTTAGCTATTGACATAAACAATGGTTTAGCAAATATCGTCACCTCCTTATAGCAATTATGAGCTGCTGACTAATGTAATGAATCCCGTGTGTGTTTTCGCCAGGAGCTGAAACATGAGAATATTGTCAGTTTACTGGACTTCCAGGTATGTATGCTTACTATCTGCTATAACTCATGGGAATTTAGTTATTTGGGGTAAATGTCTTAGTCTACTGTGTTATTCTAAGTGGTTTATTTATAATCTAATAAAAACAGACTTTATTTTTCATGTTACTGAGGATATTTTTAACTCGAATATCGCATGGCTTGGTGTTGACATTATGGGCGCAGTTCCCTTCATCTGATTGGTTAAACGTTAAACCCCGCCCACTGAAAATATCACAGACTGTTAGCCAGTCAACCATGGCGAATAGACTATATATGACTCACCATGAGTAATGATTTCATGTTGCAGTATCTTGCATCAGAAGTGAAACCTAACTGCCTTTCCTTTCCTTGTTATCAAGGTGGGCAGAGAAAATCAATAAACCCTCCAACTAAATCTTATACCTCCTGTGGTAGAAGTACTTAGAAGTCCTAAAAATAAACAGGTGAATGGCTCACAAAACAATGGCAGCCATGACAGATGTCTATGTCTATTGAAGTATAACACCCGTGCACGCATTAGCCAGCACCTGCCAGCCCAGCTCACCTCGCCTCTGCTGTCGGCTGTCTCTATCATTTGCATACAGAACAGACGTTGTCTGATGTAAGATTCCCTTATCATGAATAGAGGACTGGACTGGACTCCAGGCAGTTGAGCTTATCTGATGGCAGGTGGTTGTCTCAGGTGTAGAGAGCTTAAGAAACTTAACAAAGTGGGTTACACCTTAGATCTTGCGGTATTGTGCTCTTCAGCAAGTATAACAGGTTTACTTTAAAATGTTTGTTGTGTTATATTCTATTCTAAATTGGGCTTTCCCCATTGGATTTGGAAGGGAACTGCAGGACTTACTGAATTGATGAAAACCTATTTAAAATAAAAAATTGAGAAAATATTTTATGGGTCAAATGGGTTTGGCTGACATACACAAAAAATACAACTCCTTGTTGTAAATTAAGGTACAATTAAAGTTGTATTTAGTGCACTCCACTCCACAAGACACCTAGTCCCAGATTTTCCTTTTAGATGGTAACTTTTTTAAATGAATTGCAGCTGAATTGGAATCGCTGAACTGGATTGCTTAGTCAAGCCTCTCACCACATTATCCTGACAGTGAACGCACACAAATAATTAATGCTCGCTCCATTACACCTCACGCACTGCTAGGACTGACACAGGAGCATTTGATACTAAACAAACCTGCAATTATAGGACCACCACCTTTGGCTCCAATATCAGTCTAATCTCCATCTGGGCAGAATTTACATTTATTTTCATGGGTTTGTCCAGCCGAGTTGATCAGCTGCTCAGCTGACGGCCGGCAGGCATTTGATCCACCTGACAGCACAATGTGCACCAGGTGGCTGGCTGCTGCCCTGCATGAACGCTGAACAATAGGTTAGCACAAGAAAATGACACTCATGCTTAGTCAGTGAAACCCAACCCTCGACCCCATCCCGCACTCATGGAAACATGCTGTGGAACAGCTTTGAGTTTAATGATATTTGTTTTAAGCTTTATGTTGTTTCAGTCTTTTGTTGTTGAGAAACACCTTTGAATTGTATGCTCATGCTGATGGTTTGGCAGTCTTCTCTATGGTCTTGTGAATGCGTCTAGAGAAGATAATTTGAGTGTATTTTGCCCTTTGTGTGGTCTATAGCCTTGGGCTTTACCTAGTTTACTTTGCATTACAGCTGATGGCCTGGTTTCATTTCTCATGGATTCTGCACAAGCACACACACGGGAAGCTTAACGTTAAGCCTTTATCCACAGTAATTGTGTCACACTTATAAAATTAGCTGTTACACAACTTTGAAGTCATAATGGTTTGTTGTCTTTCATAAAACAAGTTCTATGTAATATGTTATTTAAACACGCTCCTCCCAGTGCTCTGTCACTCTGGATGTGTAATGACACCCCCTGCTTCTGTCCCGACTGCTGTAACGCTCAGGGCCTGCATGGAAACTGGCCAAATAGGACTTGTTGCACAACAAGTTGGCCATGTTCATACCTCATTCAAACGGGTCACCGTGGCTCTTGGCCTGTGGGGGACATGTATATAATATAATATAGTATATAATTTCTACATTGAATTTCATTGGCATGAATGGGCAAACAAGCCACCTAAAATCCATACTGGGTTAGAATATGCAGGCTGGGGGTCAAAGGTGGTTTCTTCTAGTGACTACTGTACATTTAAGAGGCTCTCAAAGTTCATGATTTGGTCTGTGAAGAGCATGATGTTGTGCATTTATTTTGTGCACTGATTATTAGCATAAAACATAATCTGTTCTGTTCTTTAGTATGAGTTGATACAGATCAGGGGTGCGTTTTCCAAGAGTATAGCTAGCCAAATATGGACGCAAGTTCGGTCGCTATCTCATCATAGTTCAACGTCTGTGTTTCCCAAAACCAAAGTTCTAACGAGCTTTCGCAAGCAGAATCGCAAAGTTGTGTGGTTGAAACTGTAGTTAGAAGCAGAGTTTCTAGATTGCATGACATGTGGACTCAATAAATCCTTATCTTGAGCAAAATGAGCAAGCTGACATTCAGTACAATCTGTATCTTTTATTTGGAATACATACAAATGTCATTTTATGTCGTTTAGTTTGTCAAGAGATTGAAAGCACCATTTTTCTAATTATTTGAAATTTTTGCTGTTACGTAAGAACAAGCCTATGATTGAATCTGGAAATAAAGCAAAATAACTGAAAACAATTAGAAGAAATTCTCAGATGCCATGTCTGTAATTTATAGCATTAATTACATTTTAAACAGATTCATTAAACGTTATTACTCCACCACGTGCATGACATCATTAACCAATGTGGTTGAACGACCAATTTACGACAATGTGGTTTTGGGAAACAGTCGTAACTAGCTAGTTGATTATGATAGTTAAGCAGCGAGCGAGTTACGTCGTTGGGTGGGAAACGCACCCCAGAATGGTTTGAAATGTGCTCAAACATATTATCATCAAATATGCATATTAGGAAGTCCAATTATAATTCTCAATAATATTATTCAACAAATAATAACAGTATTATTAATTGTGAATCAATTAATAATTATTTTATATTATTATAAATAATATAGCTTTTATAATTTTTATTTATACTTACACAGTTTTTAAATTAGTCATTCTTTTCAGTTATTATTAAAGTTTTTTTGGATTTAAGAAATTAAATATATCTGATAAGAAGGGTTTTTTTTAGCTTCAATTGTGCACTCAGCTTTAGAGATAAACTAAAGCTATTTCATCACTTTGATGTGCTACATTTTTCCTGCCTTAAGCTACAATTGAAGTTTTCACAAAATAAAAGATTGCTATTTTAAACTCAAATGCAAAATGAAAACACTCTCAAAGCCCAAGGCACTGTACGGTGTTAATCAAAACCTCTCATGCAGACACTTATTGTGATTTGTATCGCTTGCAAGCACATGCTATAATAACACACTCTTGATAGAAGGCTTAGTTAGGTAAGGGTACGCTTTGTATGATGACTTGCATCTATTGTGTGTCCAGCCAGAGGCCCGTCCTGATCTAGACAATGTAGAGTTTCTGCCATGACTGTCATATGACATGTTTCTGGCTGTTTCTTGCATATTGTAAATATTTAACTGTGTGCCACATGTCTCTGTCTGCAGGAGATATCAGGATGTGTCTATCTTGTCATGGAGGTGAGTCCAGATGGCATGCTGCACCTCTCACATAAACCTCAAAATAGACTTCGTGGGAAGTAGAGGAAAATCAGAGGTCAAATTTCACCGTTCCTTGCAGGATGTCCTTTATGGAAAGCTTAATTCACACTTCTGTGTTATTGTTGTCAGCATATAGCCATTTGAAGCCCTGGTGTTATTGTGATTACTCTTCCGATGAGAGTTTGTTTTGTGTAACTGTGCTCTTATAGTGTTTGACTGTCTCCTCTTACAGTACTGCAATGGAGGAGACCTAGCAGAGTATTTACACTGTAAGTACACTAACCTCATTTCAATATGTCATATGTCTTTCATTATTATGTGTGCCTTGTATCTGTCCTTGTTGTGTGAACGCACAATTAAGATTTCTTTGAACTGTTAACAGATAACAGATGAGGTGTCTTTTTTTTTCATGTTGTTATACCTGCTTGGTTTATTTCTGTTGGCTATTTTTTCACTCACCGGCCAATTTTGCTTCTAAATCTTTAAGTTACTGGCCATTCAGAACTTCAACTAGCCAAACATAAATAAATAAATAAACCAGATTAACTACGTCACAGCTAAAAAAAATAATTGGATGTTAGAAAATAATGTATTTTCTGTTAACCAAATGCTTTTTAATCTCCGCTATTGCTTCAATGCAAAAGAACAAGCGCTCGCCGTTATTTGTTGTGTAGTGACATGTGTATTTAAGTAAGCCAGATATGAGCAGATTCTTCTCAATACGCTGTATTTAATATATCATGTTAACTCACGAGTCGACTATTTGCGCTAAATCTGAGCAGAATTGTCTCACACGAACTTCCACAGCAAAGTGAGTAAATATAAGTAACACGCCAAATTGACTAGTGATTTGACAACGTTATCCGTCACAATTGATCTTTATCCGCCACAGTTTATCTTTACCCGCATTTGTCGGGTTGGCAGGTGTTAATTTCAAACCCTGATTATATTTGTGTTCAACAGAACTCATACGGTTTTGGAACAACTTGAACGCGAGTAAGTGATGACAAAACAAATGTTGACAAAAGTTTTCAAGATGTTTGGGTGAACTATTCCTTTAAAGGGATACTCCACTCAAAAATGAAAATTCTGTCATCATTTACTCACCCTCAAATTGTTGCAAATCTGTATGAGTTTAGTTTATTTCTTCTGCTGAACACAAAGGAAGATATTTTGAAAAACGATTGGAACCTAACAGTTGTTTGGCACCATTGACTTCCATAGTAGAAAAAAAAATTACTATGGAAGTCAATGGTGCCAAACAACTGTTAGGTTCCAATCGTTTTTCAAAATATCTTCTTTTGTGTTCATTAGAAGAAAAACTTTTTCATTTTTGGGTGGAGTATCCCTTTAAGTCGGAAAGGTTGAAGCTTTAAACTTGCTTTGGACTTGGACTTGCTCTTGAAACTGCAGATATATTCACAAACAAACAAATCTCCTGATCTTTTCCTCAGAAAGATAATTCAGGACCTCTGAGAATAGCTTAGTTTCACACATGTGCTGCCACAAATAGAGCCTCTTTGGAAGTGGTCTCACACACACACTTCGGGGTTCCAATACATCTTCATCTAACCATAAACTTCTCAACGTGGCTATATTTAACATGTTTGCATTGGCCACTCTTTTTTTAGCCATCAGACATGTAGCGTTGTTCAGCTTTAGATTCATGCCAGCCTCATCAGGGGCCGAGTTTGCCTTCACCCGCTCACGTCTTACCACAGACTCACTGGCACAACACCAAGATCCCATGCTGAAACTCAAATCAGAGCCTGACCTCATTCACCTGCCAGTCTGTTATCTGCCCTCTCCTGCAGTGGAAAAACATGAGGGCTAAAAATAAGACTAATAAGGGGGGTGGGGGGGCTTTTTGAGCTTTTGGAGGTGGATGGGAGCTGGACATTTTGTTTTTGATGGATTGCTATCTCTTTGTAAACAATGACGTAATATCCCACAATTCAAAGATATATATAACTATTAGTTAAGTAATGATTAAACTATATAACTTTTTCTTCATAGCTAAAGGCTGTTTGAGCGAGGACACGATCCGCATGTTACTCCTGCAGTTGGCGGGAGCCATGAGTGTTTTAAGGAGTAAAGGCATCATTCACCGTGACCTAAAGCCCCAAAACATTCTCCTTTCGTACAGCACAGGTCGCAGGGCCAACCCCAACAACATCTGCATCAAACTGGGTGAGTGCTCCGGGTCAAAGTGCACAGTTTCTACTAAAAGAAACACAAAGACTGGTCATGGATCAGTGTGTACTGATTATGAGACTGTGAGATTATGAGTTATCAGGTTGGCTGTGGTGTTTTTGTTCTTGTGTTATGACTGCGGTTTGTTTTAGGTGTTTACGACGTTGTTCTGTTTGCTCTTGAGAATTATGTAGACACTGTGTGTCACTACACAGCTGTGTAAAGTCAAACAACTAAAAAGACACTGACTGTAAACATTTGTGCACCACCTTTCACTACCAAAACAAGCTCCTTAGCACCATACACTGATTTTCCTTTCTATCTCTCCCTTTAGCTGATTTTGGCTTTGCACGTTATCTGCAGGGAAACACGATGGCTGCCACTCTCTGTGGCTCTCCTATGTACATGGTGAGTACTTGACTTCAAAACGTTCATGTTCTGTATTATCCAAATGTTAAGGAACAGGCTGCAGGATTAATGCAGGAATAATAAGTTGACGAATCATATCGTCAAGTATTGTTAACTTATGTTTACCACACAGACCTTATTTTACTTCTAAATTGAAAAACCGTATTATTAAAACCAATAGGAAAATCTTGAGCGAACCATTGGTGAATTAGTCATCCGGGTTTTGACATCATCCCTGCACCACTCTATTGGTTGGATGGTTGTGGTTTGCTATTGGTTGATCTCATGTGAGAGACAGGTTGTCCCGCCCTCGAGCTATTAAACACATCATCATAGAAGGGATGTTGTTGCAAGAGGGAAGGGAAGTTATTTTGATTAAAGATTGCAAGGCACATTCATTTTAAAAACAAATGTTGTGCAAATGTAAATCATTTATAATAAACTCTGCAATATTCCATAAGAAACTATTATTGCCCATTTTTATTTTGTGGTGACTTTAAAGCTTTTCTTTTATTGGCAACAATTGGTTTATAGGCGCTTCTCATTACAAGTATTGGGAAGATGTTGGACCATTTTGACACTGGAAACACTGGATCATGAGCTGGTTGCTATCATGCAAGAACACAGTGCCACGCTTTACTCCGAAACACACAGTCACAGCCTATAGTGATAATCACACTAATTCAGGTTTTTTTTATTTTATTTCAATTAATTGTTCAGCCCTACTGGAAAGCATCCCATATTAAAGTATTGGTTTACTTGACTTGTTCGAAAAACAGCAGCCACGTATTAGATATTCTGACTTACTCTGAATGACTTGACATACACCATATGTTTTTGAGTACTACTTGTCTTGCTTAAATGTACAGGCTCCTGAGGTCATCATGTCACAGAATTATGATGCCAAAGCTGACCTGTGGAGTGTAGGAACCATCATCTACCAGTGCTTGACTGGCAAAGCCCCATTTCAGGTCAGTGACACACACAAAAACAACAAATTGTATGACCCAAAAAGAGAAAGCTTGTTTTATCCTGTCACACGCACACTCACATCTCTCTCTCTCTGTTCATTTGTGGATGTCACTGTGGTCATGGTTTTAATTCTGCGCTTTATTTTTTTGAGCTTTCTCTTTGAAGAGTGTGGATCAATATAAAGGGATAGTTTACCCCAAATTAAAATGATTTACTAAAAATCTAAATTATTTACTCACCCTCATCTCTCAATACAGAACAAGTTGTTATTCAGTGAAAATATTTAATGGAAGGCTAACAGACTTGTTTTTAGGGGAACTCTCCCTTTAAATGTTTTTTTCCCCCTCTGAAGAATGTGTCTAAACCACTAAAAACAGATTCAATATGAGGTATTGTTGAATAAAATAGCAATTTACCCAAGTTTAGTGTATTGTAGGTCTAATATTCTGCTAATGCGAGCACACAAAGAAATACAGATTTTTAACTGTAATATTGTTGAAAGATTATTGCAATTTGATAGAAAGTCTTCAGTGTCACATCAGACATATACATATAAATATATTAGTCTGTACTGTAAATTTTGATCAATTTAAAACATTTTAATAAAATACTGATTAAAATTATTCATTTCTTTCTTTTTTAATTAATTCTTACTGATCCCAAACTTTTTAAAGGCAATGTGTATTAATCAAGAAAAAAAAAATGCTATCAATGCCACTGATTATGAATGTCTACTACTTCACTACTGAAAGCTTCTGGAACCTTTTCATTGCGAAAGCTTAACTGGCTGGCACACTCTGTTATTTATGCCCTGTGGAGTGTGAAACATGATTGTGACATCTCACTGATAAACATAACCATATGCCTCTACAAATAAACACACACACTCTAATTTACTAACAAACACTCACACCCAAACATACACACTTGCAGTGTGGGCGGCATCTCGTGTTGCTCTACTAGAACAGGAAGTTCTTTTTTTCTGTGTGTTGAATGTATTGCAAAATAAAAATGCATGCAGTACTTCCTCTGAATATTGCCCCAGGCTGAACATTATTAGTTTATGATAATTCATTATTATAATCCTGAAAGGGTGATGCATGTGCCATCATGTATTATTAAGATCACCTCTGTTCACACTGCTTCAGCAGTGTTAACTTTTGAGACCCCTCTGAGCACAGTTCACTTGTTAGCCTTCAGAAAGAGTTAGTTATGCAGTAGGAGCTCCTACGAGTCTTGTAATGTGATATCAGTTTGCAGATGGGTCAAGATGGGCCACTGAGTCCATTCAGACCAGTCGCCTCCATCCTAGCCGGAAATATTACTTTTGCTCCTGCAGCCATTCGAAAGCCTTTATGATTTGTAGAAACAGTCCCTCTAGTCTAAAATTTAACTTCAGATCTGGAACAAATGTTTATATCCCAAAGAGCCAGAGTTTATAAAGAAGAATGTAGTAAATTAATGTGATACGTCAAACTATGGTTCATTATAAAGTCTGATAATATGCATAGTTTTAAGTGAACCAACAAAATCTAGATCTAACTAGATTTGAGTGGTATTTGATCTTGCAAAACCTTCTGTAATGATGCTTAAGTGTTTCTGGAGAACAGTTAGAACATTGCTCAAGTATTAAGAGCCATTGCTTACTAGCCCAAGTCAAAAGATGTTCAGATTTAGGTCCCTCCCTCATTGTAAATTTTTATTTATTTTTTTGCCATCCAGATTTTTTTTTACTCCAGATGATCTGTTAACTAAATGAATAAGGTCAACACAATTTCTCAAATTCTTTCTCTTTATAAAATCTTTTTTCCAGGCAAATACTCCTCAGGAACTGCGGCAGTTCTATGAAAGAAACCGGAGCCTGAGTCCCAGGTAAGTGACCCTGATGAGGACTGCATGTTAGTCAGGATCCAGTTTAGTGTGTGCTATACAGTTGCAAAGGTCTCTGGTGTTGTACATTTGAAATAATTTATTTGAAAGAAATGAATACTTTTATTTAGCAAGGATGCATTAAATTGATCTTTTTAACTTTCTATTCATCAAAGAATCCAAAAAAAAAAAAAAAAATTAAGCAGCACAGCTGTTTATTAACAATAAGAAATGTTTATTGAACACCAGATCAGCATAAAAAGAGACTTCTTCTTTAGGAAAAGCGACCCCAAACCTTTAAATGATAGTGTACACAAGGCAGTAGAACTGGTTTCTTTTCTCTCTTCCATCTTTTACTTTCCCTCTTTAAAATGAAAGCCTTATTTACTTACCTAGACTGTTGCAATGTTTGCTTTCATGAGTATCGCTTTTCTACTTACTCAGTCATTTACAGAGTTACTCAGAGCCCTTGCACAAGAATATAAACATGCACACATAACTGTGATGGCTTTGATTCCTGTTAGTGTCTAACACCTCACCTAAATGTTTTTTTTTCCCAGGATTCCAAGTGAAACCTCCAGTACCCTAAGGCACCTTCTGCTTGGGTTGCTGCAGAGGAACCACATGGAACGCATGGACTTTGGTCAGTGGACACATGCATCCACACATTTAACCCTGTAGGAATCATAAATCGACAACTTATAATAATAATAAATAAGTGATTATTGTCTATTTCAGATAAATTTTTCCACCATCCTTTCATGGAGGCCAGTACATCCATGAAGAAATGTACGTACGATTATGATATACATTACTTTTTTCAAGCTAATCTGCTATAGCTTTGGTTACAGTAACATTTACATCTGTTCATTGTTGTCTTAGCCTCTCCAGTGCCCATGCCCACCTATCCCAGCTCTGGCTCTGGGAGCTCCAGCAGCGGTTCCTCATCCACACGCCTCACTCCTACTCAGGTAACATAATAACAACTCATGATGCATGAAATATGAAAACCTTTTTGACATTTACACATTATTTTAGTAATCGAGTAATCAGTCGATTATTTTTGCGATTAATCGAGTAATCAGATTTTTTGTGGTTCTAAAAATAGACCTAAGCAAAGACCTAAACCTTTAAAATTCCTTAAATACATATATGACAACAATGAGGCAACGCTATTTGGTTCAAGTAAAGGATCAAAAGCAAGTAATCATATGGTTTTATAGAATAACACTGTTAAAATACATAATATTCACAGCAGCTCAAATCCTTGTTTACTATTTGCCAAATGACATTTAATTCAAATGCTTTAATATATAAATGCTACAGCCAGTGTAATTTCTTTTCGTAGTGTTTATATAAAGTATTTTCTTGACAGTCTGACAGTGAAGCTCTGAGGCCCCTCCCTCAAATGAACCCCACGCCGTCTCCAGGTTCCCAGCTGAAAGACTCTTCCTCTGAATCGTCCTCTGAGTCCGATGACTTCGTAATGGTGCCGGCTCAGTTCACCAGTAAGATGAGCCCTCACACTCGATGACCTACTTTTGGATTACGCAATAAACAAACCTGATTTTTATGTACAAATATAACATTTCAATCTGATCACTTCTGTAGGTGAACTTGTCTCACCAGAAGGGCAGGAGAGTTTGATGCAAAGCGGGTAAGTGAGGTTACATTTTTCCAATACTTTAAGGGTTAAAGTGACACGGCCCACAGACATAGTGTATATAGTTACATGCAACATGCTTCTCAGTTCTAACCTACACAACAGATGTGCTTGCATTTTGTCTGTGCACTTAGTGTCACGTGTCGTGAATATTCATTTCAAGTATGTCAGTTGACCTTTTGACCTAAAGACCGTTTGCATGGTTTCGGTGAAGGGGTCTGCTTATGTGGTGATGCGTTTGTGCAATGAAGGAAGACATTACGGTCATGATAGCAAAAATTGCTTGAGTGTATCTTTTCATTTTCACTATAAATTTTCTAATAATTTTTTGCATTTTTTTTTTTTTTACATCTGTGTCTGTCATCTAATGCATTTATGAGTTAAAAGCCTGGTCAAGATACTTGTTTATACACTACCTTTGAAACGTTTAGGGTTTAGTTAGATGTTTTAATGTTTTTGAAAAAGAATGTTATGATCACAAGGCTACATTTATTTGATCAAAAAAGTGATACTGTGAAATCCTATAACAATTTAAAATACAACTTTTCTATTTTGATTTATTTTAAGATGTAATTTATTCCTGTTATGGCAAAGCCTTGGTGAGCAATAGAGCAAAATGTATGAAAAACACAAGATTAAATACAAACTTATATATATATATATATATATATATATATATATATACTGTACACTGTATACTGTATACTGCAAATATATACAATAAAATCTTGATATAAATAAATTCAGTACAGAATCAAAATATCTAATAGTTCAGTATCAAATTGAGTAGAAAGATGCAAATATGTAACAAATGCAAATGCAAATACAAATACAAATGCAAATAATATTTTACAATGGTGTAGTATAACAATAAATTTGTATAAATTGGTTGTTTAAACATATACAGCTCGCTTTTACATTTTAGCAAAGGTTCCATTGCATAAGGGTGATGATCATATCTGGGGGTCTATGGCATGGAATCTAAAAGATTGAAAAACCTTGGTCTACATTAAATAGTTTGATGTTTTAATAGCATAGCAATAATGGCATAACTGTGTATGTGTACTATTTCTAGAAACTCACTGCTGGGTGTCACTGCTTGTGTGGGTCAAACACCATCATCTTCCCCGTCTGTCAGAGCCTCCCCAAGCCCCAGGTACTGTGTGTGCATTAGTATGGAGATTAGCATTTAATATGGCAGAGACTGTAAAAACACACTCTCGCAAGCAGCTCACTCTAAACAATAGCTTTTGATTGCTTGAAGTGAGAGACAGCTGTCTGAGCTAACGTGACCGGAGAAAGCAGAGATAATAGAGATGAAAGTAATTCACAGATCACCAGGGGAAAAAATGGTTTAAATGGACAGTCCTTAGCATAAGTGAACACACCCATGCTAAACTTGACTAAAAAGATTAATAAAAAATCATCTTTTGGAAATTGGAAATCTGCTTGCACCTATGGGAATTTAACATGTAATTTATTCCTGTTATAGCAAAAGCCTTGGTGAGCAATAGAGCAAAATGTATGAAAAACACAAGATTAAATAGCAAATTTTGATTAAAATTCATTCGTATTTATTTTTCATTACATAGTTCAAGCCCCTCCAGGTACTGTGAGTGCATTAGTATGGAGATTAGCATTTAATATGGCAGAGACTGTAAAAACACACTCTCGCAAGCAGCTCACTCTAAACAATAGCTTTTGATTGCTTGTGTGAAGTGAGAGACAGCTGTCTGAGCTAACATGACCGGAGAAAGCAGAGATACTAGAGATGAAAGTAATTCACAGATCACCAGGGGGAAAAAATGGTTTAAATGGACAGTCCTTAGCATAAATGAACACACCCATGCTAAAATTGACTAAAAATATGAATAAAAAAAATCATCTTTTGGAAATTGGAAATCTGCTTGCACCTATGGGAATTTAACATAGGGGTGTCCTGACTTATGCGACCTGTATTTTAAGGAAGAACATTTATTTATTTATGTTACATTATTCATTCACAAAGAAAATTTGTGTCCTTAAAGGTTGGAGTTGTCCTCATTTCTTTTTAATTAATCAATTTCCAAAAGATAAATTTTTTATTAATCTTTTTAGTCATCTCTAGCATGGGTGTGTTCACTTATGCTAAGCACTATATGTTTGTGCACATGACATGCCAATCCTCTCTCTCTCTCTCTCTAGGCCTCTGGAGTCATGTGGCAGTAGTTACGCTCTGTCTGTGCCTGTTCCAGTGCCAACACAAAAACACAACTACCAGAGGATGGAGCACAACCTACAAGTGTCTGATAGGTTGGGTTTATTTCTATCTTTCTCTCTCTCTGACCTAATAAGGATGTATAAATGTGCTCCAGAATGCCCCATGCACACACACACACACACATGAGCTCTGATTATGATTATTTCAGGACCGCAACACCTGTACATCACTGCTGCTCAAATGGATGTCCAACATGTGGGAGAATCAAGGCTTCTCCGGAATCAGGAGGATCAAGACCGTTTCTACTTTCCCCACAAGGTAAAGAAACCAGTTTTTGATTTGCATACTTTACTAGGAGAGAAAGAGACTCTAGCGCCCCGTAATTTTTTTTCAGGAAGCTGGAAATAACGAATAAAGTCGGTCCTTTTGTTTGAGTTGAGAATGAGATATACAGAATTTGCATATTCTGTTTCCAGAGTTCCTACATTCATGAAAAGCCTTGAAAATAAATAAATATATACATAAATAATATTAAAATATCTATTTCAAAATGCATGTTTTAAAATAGTTTTTGAAGCCGTCATGAAATAACATAGGAACATAATAAATATTTTAACAGTTTTTGTCTTATTTGTGAATGAATTTTTCTTTTTAGTCGAGTCTTAATTATTTTGCAAATTCATCTGAATCAAAATCACTTTAATTACAAACACCTGGAAAGGTCATGGAAAGTCACGGAAATCAGTTATTTGGTAACTAAAAATAAAAATACTATTAAAAGGTTTTCAATAATTGAAATACATATTAAATGAAAAATGACTGACTGAAGTAAAATATGCATTAATAGAGTTGAAGTACAAAAATTGCTAAACCTCAAACTGAAATAAAAATTAATTAAAGCTATTTAGAAATATTAAATACAAGTAATAAAAATGACCAAATTACTAAATCTGAAATGAACTGAAAATATAAAAATAATTCAATATTCAAAATATAAATATATAAATATATATATATATATATATATATATATATATATATATATATAAAATTCAAAATATTCAACCCGATCACAATAAATGCGTCTTTATACTTGAGTATATTTTATATTTGTATATTTGAGTAGAATTAGTGGTGCGGTGTGCGTGTGTATTAGACGCAAATGAACTGCGTATCAAATGCACACGAAAAACTGCGTCTCATATGCACGTGAAAACTAATTTCCGCGTATAAATTACACGACAATACATGATGCGTGTTATAGAGTTGCATTTACGTGAGAACAGGCTGAAATATTGGTAAATAATATAATAGTATATTAGCATTGGTCAAAAGTGAGGACACCATGTGTTTTTTTGTTGATCATATAGAGAATGCTGTTGCTGTTTTTTCAGTGGGAAATGTTCCTGAAACACCCAGTCAGCCCCAGCCTATTGGCAGTAAGACGGGGTTGAATGCTGGAGGTGAAATACCTGTTTCACTGCATATCAGTTAGATTTTTGTAAGACTTCTTGTTCCAACTTCCCAACGTCTCTGTTTGTCTCTTAGATCAACGGCCTGGTCAGGTCTCTCCTCTCTTCACTGACCTGACAACCTTAGACACAACCCAGACTCACAGACTCAGAGGCCATCAGCACAGCCCAGAATCTGTAGTGCACAGAGTGAGTAACTGTTGCTGACTAATCAGGGAATGACAAAACATAAACACAAAAAACAGCTCCACCGCCATAGTGTGTAAACCACAGGTATAGAGCAGGGAGTCAATAGTTTTTGCAATGACTTCAACACAGACCTTAGTATAATACATGTTTACTTTAGTTAAAACACATTCAGCTGAGAATTTGATCAAATATGAAATTTGATCAATTATTCTGTTATGTTGAATGGCTAGAATTACTCATTTCATCCCTAGAAATTGAGTAAAACATTTTTTATTTAAAATATACCATCTTAATGTTGAGTATACATTATTTTGGGTATTTATTCAGTGTGAAAATATCTATTACAATATAAATGTTTTTTTACAACTTTTAATGTTAGGTGTGATTAATTACAGAAAAATGTTTGACAAATTAGTTTTGTTTTTTTAATCAGTCAACAACACTAAAATATATATTTGACTACTTTTCAATTCAGTGGGATTTGTATCGACGACCCATCTCTGGTCAAACTCCAAGTACGGCGCTAGTTCAGCGAGGCCTGACCGCCCGAACCAAGGCCGCGTCTGACCTGAAAGATCTGGCACAGTGCACAGCTACAGGGCCCCGTGTGCCACTTCTCAGGCCAGCGGAAAGAAGGGACATGGTCAAAAGGTATTAGTCAATAAGGCTTTAGTTCAGGGTGAAGAAAGCTTGTGGATGGATTCACTGCAGTAATGGGATTTCTGGGAGATGTTTTTGTTCCATTAGAGCTGTGTTGATGAGTCATTTGTGTTGTAGGTCATCAAGTACTGGCCCTCTCTCAGATAAGCTGCTGAAGGCTGTGTTCGGACATCAACTTGACAGGGGCAGCTGTGAGAGCTTAAATTCAGAGAAACCCATGGACACAACAGGTATGAGCTCATGCTAACAGTGATGTTAGCCACTCAACAAAAGACAAGCTTTAAAGTTGCGGTAGTCTAATTTCCCTTTTGACGTTTATTCAAGCGAAACAGCTGAAAAAAAAATGTAGGGTAGGACTTGGGAATTGAGTGGATGGTTGAATAGTTGTGGTTTGCTATTGGTGTTGAAAGATATAAAAGAGCTGTTTCATATCTATCCTTGAATTGTTGGGGGTTTATAGGGGATTCAGGAAGTAATTGGTAATAAGTGATCCAATATTTTTTAGAAAGAGCACATAAATCTATTTACACTGTTGATGATGTACTTAATATTTCGTAATTAAATTACTTAACTTTATTAAATTAAGTAACTTTCCTAACACTGGTTCCCCCAGGAAGCTATTATCGTTATTACCATAAATATATTCATACTGGGCATATAAATGGAAATCCATCCCAGAAATCTTCTTCATTATTTTATTTTATTTTATTTTATTTTATTTTATTACTATCTTGACCCTGTATCTAAAAGTGCCATACCTATGTGCAGTTTTGTATGTCTAAAGTTTATTACTATAGTCTTACAGCGCCAATTATTGCATGCCATGATAATACCTTTTTAAAGATGTTTTCTTTATATCTGTCTGTAGTTAATCATAGTCATAAATCATTTTTTAAAAACACTTTTCTTAATGTATCTGCTGTTTAAAATGCCATTGTGTGCTGATCTCTGTAGCACCCCCTTGTGGCAGTGATGGCCTAGAGCAGGGCTCAGGCAGTCCTGCTGGAATTGTGTTCATGCTGGGCTCTCCTGAATTCGGACTCACACCTCCTCACACTACTCGACCTAGACGCTTCTCAGGTGACACTTCCATTAGTTTGCTTAAAGAGATTGAAACTCATGTATTGCATTTGCATGTTACTGTGACTGTTAGACTCACGATGCATTTTCAATTCACCTCATCTGTTGTTGAAGTGGGCACTCCCAGCCCAACAAGCCCTGGCTGGACCTATGGTCATTTGCACGAGGCCTACGGTTCACCTGAGAGCCTGCGCTGTGGTTACACAGATGCCATTGCAACAAACCTCAGTGAGGACGTGGCATTTGTGCCACCTGAACTGCCAGAGGAGACGCTTATGGAGGTAAAATAAATGGGCTATACGTTATGTATGAAAAATACAGTCAGTCAGACAGTCAGCTGGTCATTATAAACAGCTGAGAAATAAAACGCTTGTGTACCAGTATGTTGGATCCGTGCAGCTCTTAAAGTGACAGCCTAATATTCTTGCTGTGCTGCTGTCTGTTTTAATGTTAATTAAAAAAAAAAATCGCTCACTACTCTTGACTGAATAACTTTGGTAACTTTAAAGCTACACTGTGTAACTCTTTTAGTTTATTCTTAGCTAAAAATACTTAGTTCTTTCTAAAATATATGTGCTCATTAATGTATATTTACTTCGTTCAAGTAATAAAGTATTCTCGTGAGTGTATAATATGCCATTGAAAATACATACGGGTAAGGGGTTCTAATGTCGGTCGCCATGTTGCCCCTCCATCTTGAAAGTACATTAGCCAAAGAGGGACATACCCGTTAATTCAAGCTTCTCCTTTCGCGTTTACGTTTGAGTTAACACTCATGGACGAGGTTGAACTGGAAGCCATGTTAATCTTGGACTACATTGGCCACCGTAGGAGTTAAAACGAAATCGGAATTGAGAGGAACAGAAACTAATATTCACTGGATGGTCAGATACCTTTTCACCGCTAGATGGGGTAAAAATCACTCAGTGTAGCTTTAATAAGGATTAATGTATATTTAATTTATTAAGCTATTTTATTTATTAGCCATTTTACATTTGATTACTGTATTTCTGTTTCTGAAAACTACTGTTAGACCTACCTGAAAAGCACTGTTTATTTCAAATGCGTCTTTGTTTTGGTGTATTTATCTATTTATGTTGGCCTGTTAAATGTTAAATGGATCCAACCATTGTTCAATAGAAATAATTTAATGATGGAGAAATAAACTGTATCTACTGTACAGAATATGCATGGTATACAGTATTATATATATTATATTTATATATAATATATATAATTTATATTTATAATTATATACAGTAATTTTTTTTGCTCATTTAAAACATGATCAAAACACAAACCTATTTTAATGACAAAAGTTTAAATAAGAGAGCAAGTGACAAATACCGGTATTGGAATCAGCCAATAGTTGTTTGTTAAAATCAGTATTGTTATCTGGAGGGGAAAAAAATCCTATCAGTACATCCCTTATTACAATAAATAACTGCTTTCTATTTAAATATATGTTAAATGTAATTTGTTCCTGTGGTGCAAAGCTGAATTTTCAGCATCATTACTAATATGCTGATTTGCTGCTCAAGAAACATGTTGTGCTGCTTAATGTTTTTGTGAAAAAAATTTTAAGGATTCTTTGATGGAAAGGACCAAAATCATTTTTGAGGACCTTTATAGGCAATTTCTATCCAAAAAAGAATCCTGAAAAAAAAAAATTATCACGGTTTAGAGGACCGAAATAAAAATTTAATATTTGGCTCCTCTTCTTCTATACAGGAGGGGCATACAGACTTGCTGAGCCGACTGCGCTTCATTCTAGCCTTTTCCTACTGCATCACAGAGGTTGCTCGAACAAAGGACAGTGGGGAAAGGAACATGGCACTTGATGCTTCATTCTTAGAGCAGAGCATGGTGGCTGACCAGATCAGCCTGCTGAGCCATGAGTGGAGGTGAGATACTACTCATTCATGCATACACACACACGTGCTTATGTGTCATGTGTATGATATTACGTCACATACACTGTGAGTGATGTGCACATGTGAATGTAGCTCTGCAGAGCAGCTGGTCCTCTATATGAAGTGTGCCGAGCTGCTGTCCTCAGCGCTACACACAGCAATGGCTGGGATCAAAGAAGGCAAACTCTACCCATCAGGATCTGTTAAACAAGGTAAGTCACATACTCCAAGCACATAATTGCCAAAAACACCCAACAATTTTAATGCAAACCCCCCCCCCAAAAAACGGTCCCACTTCATATTATGTTGCCTTAACTACTAACAAATGTTAGGTACTTGTACTTAATGTTTTCATGTTGAGTTGCAAAACACTTCTGCTGCTATTGAGGTGGGATACGGGTAAGATTAGGGACAGGTTTCATTGTAGGATTAAGTTTAAAGGGTTAGTTCACCCAAAAATGAAAATTAAGTCATTAATTACTCACCCCCATGCTGTACCAACCCCGTAAGACCTTCGTTCGTCTTCGGAACACAAATGAAGATATTTTTGATTAAATTTGAGAGCTGTATAACTACCACATTGGCTCCTAAGGGACTGCCTCTTGACGGCCCAGAAAGTCAATGAAGAAAATGTTTAAATATCCCAAGTGACTACCGTGGCTCAACTATATGTTTATCAAGCGACGTGAATACGAGAATTCCTTAGATTTCCACGACGCATGCGCGAGATTTGCGATCTGCTTACACCAGATTAGATCGCAATTCTCGCGCATGCGTCGTGGAAATCTATAAGGAAGTCTCGTTCTGGCCTACAAGGAAGAAAAGAAATAGTCGAATAAACTCGTTATTTTTGTTTGTTTTTTCGCACAAAAAGTATTCGCGTCGCTTGATAAACATATAGTTGAGCCACGGTAGTCACTTGGGATATTTAAACATTTTCTTCATTGACTTTTTGGGCCGTCAAGAGGCAGTCCCTTAGGAGCCAATGTGGTAGTTATACAGCTCTCAAATTTAATCAAAAATATCTTCATTTGTGTTCCGAAGACGAACGAAGGTCTTACGGGGTTGGTACAGCATGGGGGTGAGTAATTAATGACTTAATTTTCATTTTTGGGTGAACTAACCCTTTAAGGGTGGCTTATTGGGTAAAGGAATTAGCTGTGTAATTATAGAAATTAATTACATCATTAATTACATGTAATTACATTACATAATTAAACAAAAACATTAACGGATTAATTAAAATTTGTGTAGTTCATATAAAGTGGGACCAAAAGATCTCTAAATAATGCAACCATATATATATATATCATGGAGAAATTGTCCGAACTCCGAATTATGATTTCTGTTTTAGTTGGGGGCCTTAAGCACATAAATAGGTTATTTCGCGCAAATTCATCTAAAAGCGCCAAATTTGGCACAGATGTAGCTCAGGTCATACTGAAATGATTTAGCTAGGGCGCCGGAGCCAGCGACCCTCGGGGCCAAGATGGCGGCCAAATCCAATATGGCCGCTGTCCGAAAAGGGTTCCGGCTATAACTTTTGAACCACATGAGTTACAAATACAAACTTGAAATGTTTTTCAGCTTAATTGATCATGGGAAACACATAGAAATGTTTATATTTATGACCCAGTATATCTGGACCCCTTGATCCTGCAATTCCAATATGGCCGCTGTCCAAAAAAGCAGTTTGGGCTGTAGAATGGGGCCTTACATCCCATTGTTCGCGTAAATTCATATACAAGCACCAAATTTGGCACAGATGTAGCTCAGGTTATACTGAAATGATTTAGCTAGGGCGCCGGAGCCAGCGACCCTCGGGGCCAAGATGGCGGCCAAATCCAATATGGCCGCTGCCTGAAAAGGGTTCCGGCTATAACTTTTGAACCACATGAGTTAAAAATACAAACTTGATGTCTATTTTACCTTTTCTGACTATGGGAAACCCATATGAATACTTACATTTATGATTGGGTATATCAGGACCCCCCAAATTTTCTAAATACAATATGGCCGCTGTCCGAAAAAGGGTTTTGGCTACAAATTTTGAACCAAATGCGCTACAAATGAGAATGTGGTGTCTATTTTATGTTTATTGATCACAGGAAGTCCACTGGCATATTTATATGTATGCTTGTGTAAGTCTGGAACCTGTATTCTTTTCAAGACTGTGGTTGAAAATCCTTTTTTTATCACAAATTTGAAGGTTATTCTCAATGTTGATTCATTTCCTTATAAAAGTGAAATGCTTTTCAGTGTACTACAGGTGAATACATTTCAAAGTGTAATCATTTAAGAAAGAATAATACACATTAGTATTGCAAGTAAATATTTATATTGTCAAATTGTTAAAAGAATAATATAGTAAATTTCTCCTAAACTCTTAATGGTTTGCTTAGCGTAACAAAAAAATAGCAATAACATGAAAAAACAACAGTGAATTCTCATGGTCTCACACATGTTCAATTATTATCATTTATTATCATTATAATTATCATCATAATCACCGGCTCTCTCATCGTCTCCACCATCATTGTTTGTACAACACCCTCACATGCACATATAGAAGTGCAACAAACTCCGGCTTTACAGCCCTTGCAGTGCCCTACATGCTGTCTTGAGGTTACAGTGGAGGAGATATGGTGCAGGCTTTGACTCCAAGATTAGTCCAGTAAGGTTCCCAAGTCTTGCTTGTGGAGTCCAGATACCATCCCCATGCATTGAAATCTGGGATATCTTGGCCCCGAGGGTCGCTGGCTCCGGCGCCCTAGCTAAATCATTTCAGTATGACCTGAGCTACATCTGTGCCAAATTTGGCGCTTTTAGATGAATTTGCGCGAAAATGTGCTTAAGGCCCCCAACTATTTGCCAAAATAATGGTTTGATAATTGCGTATGTTACCTTTTGCATTCGAACCATTCTATTAATTGTTTTGTGTTTCTTGTACATTGCTTATAATACTTTATTTTTAGTTTCCCTGGTAAGCATTTTACATGTACTTACTATAGTAATAACAGTAAAGTATGCTTGATTATAAACAACTTACCCTAATTATAGACCATTTTGCAAGATGTAAACAACACTGGTCCAGAAACACTTCCTGTTTCAGTGTTTTAACACTACATAAAAGCTGGGATAAAATACAACCAACAGAACATATAAATATGAATCAAAAATCTTTAAGATGTTTTCTTTACATGTGAAATAAAGAAAACAGTTACAAACTGAAACAGGAAGTGTTTCTGGACCAGTGTTGTAAAATTAATTCATATTATTCAGTATTTTATTTATAATTTGTATTACCCATATTAGGTGCATATCATGTTAGGTACAGTATTACTCAGTATTAATTTATATAAATTACACTGAAACAAGGGAATTTTTTTTTTATCAATATATTTTTCCCAGAATTCTTTGATGAATAGAAAGTTTAATACAGCAGGGTTTATTTGAAATAGAAATATTTTATACCATTCTCTTTAAATTACTTTAATGTCATTTGTGATAAATCAAAAACTATACATACTGTAACTGTATAAAACATTCATTCTGATTGGTATGTTGTGTATGTGTGTTTGTGTTTTGCTCTTGCAGTAGTACGTAAGCTTAATGAGATGTATAAGGGGTGTGTGAACGCCTGCCGTTCTCTCACTGAGAAACTCCAGCTCTTCTTCAGCAGCAAGCAAAGACTGATGGACCGCATTAACAACATTACTGCTGAGAGACTCATCTACACACACACCGTTCAGATGGTATGAACACACTCATGTTTGGTTTCTTACAATATTAGGAGAAACAGCTCTGTATCTAATCTGTAATACTAATAGCATGAATTGCACTCCTCTCTTATGTGAGCAGGTACAGACAGCAGCACTGGACGAGATGTTTCATCATGGAGAAACCTCTGTAGAGCGATACCATAAGGCCTTACTGCTGATGGAGGGCCTGTCTTTAATTATTACAGAGACTGCAGACATAAACATTATCAACAAATGTGAGTATGACACACCTACTCTACAGTTCTAAAGTTAGTTAGTTAGTAGTTAAAGGTTAGTACTTATACTTTTTTTAAATAAATGAATACTTTAGCAAGGAAGTGACAGTACAGACATTTATAATGTTACAAAGATTTCTGTTTAAAATATGAAAATAATATGGTTTCCTTTCCACAAAAATATGAAGCGCCACAATTTGATGATATTATGAAATGTTCTTGAGCAGTCAATCAGCATATTGAAATGATTTCTGAAAGATCATGAGACACTGAAGACTGGAGTAATAATGGTGAAAATCCAGCTTTACCGTTACATATATATTAAATTTTAAAGATCTGCAAAATAAAAAATAAATAACAGTTCTGTAATAATATTTCTTTTTTTATTATTATTAAATAAATGGAGCCTTGGTGAATATGAGATTTCTTTCAAAAACATTAAAAAGCTTACTAAATTCGTTATAAACTAGTTATTGCTCATTATACATCTCATCCAAAGACTTTATATACAAAGAAGGTGCACTAATATTGTTATGATTGGGAGAAAGTAAAAAGCGCAATATAACGGGATAAGTCCTCCTTTAAAAATAAAACAGCCAATCTCCTGTTAGAAACACTTATTCCTGTAAAAATAGTCTGTGTTTCTAAGAGATGCCTAAAAAATGCATTGTTTGTCATGATTTGAGCATTTAGAAAGAAAAAATAAGTCAGTTGTTGTCAGATTTCATTGGTAATTTCAAATATGAAATGTAATTGTAAGCTTTGTTGAACAGCTTTGGAGAATTTTAAGTTTCCCCGTTTCAAAGATGGCCGCCGAGTGAAATGACCTGCCTTAAATGGACTTTGTCACATCTCTGATGTACATTCGTTTGCCCTTTCTGCAGGTAAACAGTGTATTGAGCGGCGACTCTCCTCCCTTCAGCCCAAATGATGTGTGTGATGCATCATCAAACCCCAAACATCTACATCTTTTTTAATCAAAGTTGCCATTTTAAATTTCGTGAAATTTCCGCTCATTTAAAATGTGATATTTGGTTTCCAAAGCCAAAAAAAGGTGAGAAAAGACTTTTTCATAATAGACAGAGATGAAATCTCCATGATGGCACTTAAAGTGATGACTTTAATCTTAGCACTAATGAGCAACAGGGACTGAATGAGCAACAGCTTGGATGATTTTCATTCAATCATACTAAAACATGACTATAACGTTAGTTTCATGAAGTTACATGGAATGATCCTGTTTTGATGGGCTTATCCTACATGTTTTTGCATGATTTTGAGGAAATGATGGTTATCTGCTGTATCTGAAGGGAATTCATAATCATTTGGAACCTCTGCGACCACCGAGATGTTGTTGAAATAGCAGCCTGTGGTGGATGTGTAATAGTCAGCTACAGATGTACAGCTCTAATGTGGCAATTGACCAAAAATGTGGCAAACCTTTGCAGACATACTGATAAAAACTGTCAGTTTCATATGTTGTCATATGACGGTGGGAGAAATACTTGAGAATTGTATTAGATTAACTATCATACTGTTATTCATGTGTATGTAAAATAGCAAAGCACTTTATAAACCATTTTGCCTTCTGGATACCTGAAAAGAACCACTGCAGAGAAAGCAATCCTTCGATGTAATGGCTCATTTCAGTTTAATTAACACCTGAAAGTCAAAAATAGTCATTAGCTTGTGTGTAGCATTTTATATTTTTCTGTTTTTAATTGTCAGTCTGAAAGTGATGGTTAAGTTTTCAGTTTGCTTTTGAATCTTTTGCAAGTAAATGACTTGAGAGTAAATCTCACTGGACAAAAACAAATCAAAACAAATCTGAGACTTACAATCTATAGCTACTTCTAGAATTTTCATATCATGTTTGTTCATTACTTGCACTATTTTTGCATTTTTCCAATGGCAATAATTTTAAGGTGTTTTTAAGGCATTTAGTCTGAAATGTATAGTAGAATTATGCACATGAAACTTTTTAAAATAATAATGTTAAACTGAGGACAAAGAACTCTTTTGTATATGTTGTTACAGTATTTATGATGTGTTTTATGATGTTTGTGTCTTTTTATTTCCATTTGCAGAAGCCAAAAATAAGTGCAGAATGCATGTGGTATGGGTGTGTGTGTGTGTGTGTGTGTGTATTCAAATAAATTTCACTTTTATATGTACTCTGTTGATTAATTTGAAAATATATTATGAAAAGCCTTCAAACATTACTAGAACTTTTTCGTAGTCCGTGTTTAAGGTACGTGTGCAGAAAATCGCTTTTCACCTATATATTTATGTGTATATATAAAATTGTACTGATTAATACCATAGAATTCATGCAAGGTGCGTAAGGAAGGGAAGCAAAACCTACGGTAGTCCCGCCCTCGCGCATACGCTGCTCCTTCTTTCAGTGTCGTGATTGGACAACAGCGCGTCAGTCAAGTAAACGTCACGCTCTCAGTCGAGTGTTTCCGGGTTTTCGGAGAAGAAAGAAAAAAAATAATCAGTCTATCGCCATGATTCACACAGAAACATCTGTCATACGCTAATACCAGTTTTATTGAGCTTTGTATTCGCAAGAGTGGAAAGCCACAGGTGTTTTGTGAATTAGGCACCGAGGGTAGAGTTTGCAGTGGATGGTCGGAGCGCGGGACGGCGATTTTACAGTAAGTGGCGCGTGTTGATGTTTGTGTTTAGCAGGCGAGCTAATGCATCGCGAGCGGAAACTCAAACATACTCTGCTTCGAATGCTCACACAAACCAAACAACTACATATACTAAAATAATGCACACGGGTTTGTTGCACGTGCTCTTACTGGATTAGAATAGCAGTTTGTTGATACGAGAAGAGTGGGTTGGTTTGTAAGGTGTGTTAGGCTGTGGCTGTCTATGACTATATGTCAGCCTGCCTGAGAGCAGAGAGGGTTTTACTTGTAAACACAGTGTTGTCAACCCCATAGTGGAGTTTATTCCTTGCTAAAATACACCATGGGAATTAGATTTCCCCCCAAATACCAGACTCACTTTTGAAAATTTTGAAGTTAATGCAGGGTCTGATTCAAACATTTAGAAACTGTTAGTTATTTCACATTTAGTTTAATTTATCTTTTCTTATACAATGTATTCTGTATATTCAGCACTTGCATACGGTAAAAATACATTAGTCCAACTGCAAAACTGAAAAAAATTGCAAATGCAAGGAGAGTTTCATTCTGGCCTCTGCATCACGTCTTCGTGCTGGATTCGGCCTCAGGACAAAGGCAACATTGATGCCCTAACCCTAACATTGATGTGCCTTGCCAGGCCAGATCCAGCCTTGACAACACTGTCCACAACATGCTCTTTCTTGTCCTTATCCTCTTCATCCACCACCTCTTATGTGCTCTTCCTCCTCTCCTTCTCGTCCATCCATTGTTCGTATCAATATTCAGTGCACCTGTTACACCTGTGCAGTCTGAGCTCATCTGTATGTTGTACAGTTGGTTTGATCACATCATTAGAGTCGTTGTGTGTAAATAATGACATTGAAATGACAACGGTGTTATAGTTGTTCAACTTTTCCAGCTTGTTTCCTATTTTCCAACACAAATGCAATGCAAAACAGTGCGAAATGTGTTTTAGTAAGTGAGAATGTATTTAGAGTTTTGTAAATGTTAATGGAGTCTACTGTCTAAGTAACTACCAGAACTTTTTTGCCAAAAGAGTGATTTATTTGACAAAATATCGTTAGGCCACTGAGCATTTGGTTTTTACGGAGGCGTATTGCATTCACCTGAAGAATCAACGAGTTAATTTTTCATGAGAAAAATTTTTTTTGCTCTGTTTTTCTGAATTAATGAGTTAATATTTCATGAGAAAGAAAAGTTTTTGCTCTTTTTTCTGAATTAATGAGTTAATTTTTCGTGAGAAAAAAAGTTTTTGCTCTGTTTTTTCAGAAAAACAGAGCAAAAAAAAAATTCCATGAAAAATTAACTCATTAATTCAGAAAAACAGAGCAAAATATTTTTTCTCATGAGAAATTAACTCGTTAATTCAGAAAAACAGAGCAAAAACTTTTTTTTCTCATGAAAAATTAACACATTAATTCAGAAAAACAGAGTAGATTTTTTTTTTCTTCAAGTGAATGCAATACGCCTCCGTAGGTTTTAGCTATTGAGAAAAAAAAACCTTATCCTCCTGATGTCTTGTAGTTGCATTTAGCAGATTTGAGTTGGGCGCTAATTTACATTTTATATTATTTTACAGGAGTATACTGTATGCATGAATAAAGTTGGATGCATTATGTATCCTACAATATAAATGAATGTGTGTGTGTGTGTGTGTGTGTGTATATATATATAGGCTATATATGAAGAGTTCAGATGCAAAAGCCTCTAAGTGCCATTTGAAATTTTCTTCTAAAATTATCATTTTTATCAAGCTTGTATATTTAAGTTCAGTAATTTCACTTAAATGGCAATGAAGATTACCTATTAATTGTCATTTAAGTGAAATTACTGAACTTAAATACAAGCTTGATAAAAATGGTCATTTTAGAAGAAAATGTCAAATGGCATTTAGAGGCTTTTGCATCTGAACTCTTCATATATATATACATATATATATATATACATTTTATATTTTTTATATATACTTTTACATTTAAAAGGTAAAAATGAATGTCCGATTAACCTTTAAAAATTAATATACTTGCTTGTATAGGCCTAGTTCTTGAATAGTAGACTAGACACACAAATATATGCATGATAGAAACGTTGCACTGTTGTCTCCCCACAGAGTGTCTTTTAATACAATAAAAGTGGCACGAAATGCACCATGGAGGAGGCCCACCAAATGTGCAGAGGAACCTTCAGAGAACAAAGTCCTTCACTGGATCTGAGGCAGAAGAACAGCAGCAACCACAGCAGTCCCAACAGCAGCAGCAGCAGCCCATGCCGGTTACCCAGCAACAGCCAGCCAATCACCCCCAGTCACCGGTGACATCTTTTGCTCCATCTGCAAGTCCCTCTGCGCCACAGTCTCCCAATTATCAAATCATCATGAGTCGGAGTCCGGTCACAGGTCAGAACATGAACATCACCTTACAGAACGTGGGACCAATGGTTCCAGGGAACCAGCAGATCACCCTCGCCTCTCTGCCTCTCCAGAGCCCGGCGTCCCCCGGCTTTCAGCATCAGCCCCAGCAGTGGAGGTTCGAGCCTGGCTCTTCATCTTACATCCAGGTGACGTCACCCTTGTCCCAAACCCTACAGCCTCAAAGTCCCACCCAGCACAGTCCGGTCCCCATACAGGCTGTGCCCAGGCCGAACGCTCCTGTGTCAGCCCTGGGAGTGTGCGGTCAAAGCCCGACGCGGTTTGTGGATGCAGGTATTATGGTTAGGCAGCTCAACTTGGGCAGCCCACCAGCCCATTTTGTGTACCAGGATGGAGCAGGATTGGCTCAGCTAACTCCGACCACAGCAGGAGCCGTTCAGCTGACCTCACCTGGGACTCCAGGGGCCATCAGAGAAAGACGCCTGTCCCAGCCACACTCTCAGACCGGGGGCACCATACACCATTTGGGCCCGCAGAGCCCGGTTGCGGCAGGGGCTGCTCTCCCGACGTTAGGCAGCCCTGGGCATATCACCACCTCCAATCTGCCTCCTCAGATCAGTAGCATCATCCAAGGCCAGTTAGCACGACCCATGATTTTTGAGAAGACTGCGCAAGTCGTTGTGGGAGCATCTGCGGCACCCTCTTTCGGGGTCCCATCCGCCATCCCTCCCTCCAGCCCATCCAGGAGCAACCCTCCCCAGGGCCTTGCCGGCCAGTCCATGACCCCCACCACCAGCGTGAAGAAGATGCAGCCGAAGAAGCTGGAAGAGATTGCGCCCTCAAACCCAGAGGTGGCACAGTTGAGGAAGCAGTGTCTGGAGCATCATGGGAAGAAAATGGACAGTCTGAAGGAGGTGTTTAAGGAGTACCTGATTGAGCTCTTTTTCCTGCAGCATCTGCAAGGGAACATGATGGACTACATTGCCTTCAAGAAAAAGCCTTGTGTGCCTCTCTTCACCTACCTGAGGCAGAACGATCTTGACCTTGAAGATGAAGAGGAGGAGGAAGAGCAGTCCGAAGTCATTAATGATGAGGTAAAAGATCTCTTACATTCTGTTTTCAAATTTGTGTAATATCTCAGTGATAAGTGTTCACAATAAAGCTATTATTATGTCCAAAAAATATTTTATAAAACATTTAGAAAAACTTTTAAAATGTTTGTAAGAAACTTTTAAATGGGTTTAAAAGGCATCGTGTGGTTTAACCATCAAGTAAAAAAAAAAGAAATAGCATTTTTATCTTAAACTTTGAATTCATGTGAGTGCATACTCTTTATTTTAAAAACAGATTTAAAATGTATATTTTTAAGTAAGAAAACATACACTACATTTCAAATGTCTGGGGTCAGTAAAAAGGTTTTTAAAAGAAATCTCTTATGCTCACCCCGTCTGTATTTATCTGATCAGAAATACAGTAATATTGTTAAATTTGTGGGATTCGCAACACGTTACATTTTACAGTCTTTTCACCGTCATAACAAGATCAAATTTCTGATATTTTAAGAGGATTTTTGACATGAGACAGTCACAGAGCTCTTCTGGTGTCCTCTCTATGATATAATTCCCTTTTTTTGTTTCTGCATGTTTACACCATATGCTTTTCTTGGTCAAATCACATGACATGATTTGGTAGATTTTTTTTTTCTTTCTCCCAAATATTGATATCCAATGATGCAGTCACTGTTTTGTTAAAGAGATACTTTTTTTTCATATGAAACTGTTATTCCCTTAACTAAGACGAATTGTTACATACCTCTCTCATCTCAGTGCGTGCACTCAATCGCTCTGGTGTGCAAGACACTTTGATAGCACTTAAAGGAGTAGTTCACTTTTCAAAAAACTTTTGCTGATAATTTACTCACCCGCATGTCCATGTCTTTTTTTCTTCAGTTCATTTTGATGAACGAGTTCGAACAGGAGAGTCACAAATGTGTGTCACAGAACAGAGCAAGGCTAGCATTTAAGCTTATAAAACTTAAACTCTGTTATTTATTTATTAAATGAGCGATTATTTTGCTTGAAAAGACTCTTATTCATCGTCTGGAATCGTTTAAAGCCCTTTGAACAGTTTGCAGTTTGTACTGAAA